GACATTGAACCATTGACCATAACTCTTTGCATGCGGCAATGAGATTTGCAGGAAGCCTTATGAATGTAACACTAATGCATTCAAAGGCTTAAGCCACATGATTATAACAGAGGCCTACTAAGCTACTTGAGCAGAAATTCAGTCTCTCTCTCTCTTTTTATCCTCACAACCTACTCATTTGGGAGATGAAGATGGGTATTGCACACATGGCAGGGGACCCCCCGGTGTAGTTTATTGTATTTATTGCCTTTCTGAAAAGTAGCTTGATGTTCCTAATCGCCTGTTTGAGGAGCAGCGATAATAAAGTGGATGACAAGAAGCTAGGAATCCAAATTGAAGGCTATAGAGCATTTGTTGCTGAAAGCACTCGGTTGGGTGTGTGCTGTATTTAGTGATGATTTAACTACAGTTGCACTTGGTACTTAAATGTTGATTATCTTTTTTTTTTTCTTTTTTCCTACAGCCAGGAGTGAACAGTATGGATGCACAAGTGGGTAAGTAGAAACAATTTGTTACCATTTCAAAATATGTTACCAAAATTAGGTGAAGTATTTAAAAAAAAAAAAAAAAAGCCGCCAAAAACCCCAACCAAACAAAAAGCCAAAACCCTTTTCCGTAAACTGTGATTTAGTATTTCAGTAACTGACATCTTCGTTAATTCCCAGGTCTTTTTTTCTTTCAAACATTGATTAATTAGTGACTTTATATAGAAAAGTAAAGCAACCAAACCCTTTTAAGTTTTGTTTGTTTGTTTTGTTTAGGTGTAGCACCTCCTGGAACTCAGGTATGTGAAAACCAAAATTCTAGAAGATTGTAATGGCAGTGTGGTGGTGTGTGTATGTGGTTTTAGAGGTTTAAAAGAAAACCTTATATCTTACTTTTCGTCTCATATAGAGCTTCTTTGCTTATTTGACTGTCAGTCTATAATTAGTGTTAATAGTTAAAGTAGGTGTCTTTTCTGTTATATTTCCACTAATTTCTGAGCATTGAAATCTATGCAGGACAGCAGTATGAGATGTTTCTTGTAGTGCTTGTAGGTCTTCTGCCCCGCCTGGCCTGCAAATGAATTGTAGCCTAGAGACCTCTGTTACTCTTAACACTGACTGTTTTCAGATTTAAGTCTTTTCAGGTGTTGGGCTAGAGAGTTACTCAGGGTAGAGCTGGGGTATTATATGCACTGAAGAAGACTGAAGGTTGTTCCTCTTACTGTGTTCTTCCTCCTCTCCCCCCCCCTTTTTTTTTTTTTTTTTTTTGTTCCTTCCTTCCATATCAGTGACCAGTTTATAAGCAGACTTACTTAAATTTGGATGACTTTTCACCTGTTACAAATCTGTGAGTGTTTTGCTTTGACAGTTCTGATGTGTATGGCAGAATTTGGTAGCCAATGATTAAGTCTGCCTTGGTGTTACTTAATTCACCTGCGCTTAGTAGGAGAAACAGGTCAAAGTTCTGCTATTCAGTCCCATGAGACCTACTGGAACCTCTGTTAGCATTGTCAGCTTACTGAGAATTTTGTTACCAAAGACTTCAGCAATAAAAAGTCGTCTATATAGCTATCCATAATAATTTTGAAAACATGTTTTTTGAAGAATATAAATTACTAACCTCAAAAGAATGCTTATCACCACCTCATCAGTTTTAAGCTAAATTACCAATAAGCAGTAACTCTTCCTTCTACCCCTGATGTCTTGATATTTGAAATTTGCCTCTGTTAGTGTCTCCTTCCATGTTTGTGGAATGTGTCATGTTTGTTAACATTAATCAGTAGCTTAAATAGGAAAAAATATTGGCTAGGTTGCGGGGAAGGTCATTTAACATAGAATGAACATGTAAGCAGGATGGTGACATGCAGGCCAGACTTATTTCATTAGGTGATTTTTCAGTAGTCTTCCACCTTTCCACCAGATGGATGGGAAATAACCTGATGCAACAGAACTGGTACTATATAACTTAATAATGAAATTTTTTGATCACGAATCAAGGTAACCTTGTATTGAGATAGGCAGGTCATCTGGAAATAATCTCAAATTTGTTTCATTGAATGACCGCAAATAACTTTCAGTCATGATCAAAATTCTATTTAAAGTTTTGTGAATACTAAATTCCTTCTCTAGAAGATATCCCAGACATTTACCTTTTAGTTCTTAAGATGACGAAGAAAATAGTTTAAATAACTAAGAGGCAGAAATCTAAGAAAATAAATCATATGGCCTCAAAGATACCCCATTGTAAGTTTTTGGTTGTTGCTTTGAAATTTGGGGATCTTGTATCTAGCTTAATTATTAAATATTAGTGAATATCAGTTGTCCTTTTATTCCTATGAGATTTGTATGCTACGTAATTGAACAAGGCAGTTGGACCTATAGGGAAGTTGTTTCTCCTCAGCCGTATCCAATAACTGAGGTGGAGTAGATGGCTGAAGCTGCGTTCTGCCAGTCCTTTTTTCAGTGAGTTTATATAAACTGTCACTGAAAAGCAGTAGGAGGGTGCTCCCAAGTTCAGGCTAAAATCCTGAAGTCAGAACCTTCTTCAGGCAATTTTTTCTTAGTTTTGAGAACAGGATGTGCTTCTGGGTCTTCCACTTGCAGTTGTCAGGACCTGACTGCATTCACTTCTGCTTTCTTTTCTGGTGGTAATTAGCTGCCTTAGATTGCTGATTGAGTGGGGAGAGACTCTTAAGTCTTGTCACAAAGTAACAGTTTCTTGAAAACAGTACTGGATTAAATGTGCTTAGATTTTGCATTGCTGTCTTTCTTTTGCTGGTAAATTACTAAGTATATTTAATATACACATGCAAATGAAAAATATTAACCAGAATGTCTTTTCAGAGCTCTGTTTTGTTTCGCCCTCAGACAACACATCCTGTAGTTTGTGCAGCCCAGCAAACCGCCACAACCAACAGTTCTGTTAGTGAAGAGCACTCTAAACAGGTTTATCTGCTTTCCACTTGTATTTAACCTTTTTAGTGGCTTTTGATAACATTTTGGTCAGCAATTATTGTTCATCATTAATCGTATCATTTGTTTTTTGCTAGAAATCTTCTACATGGACAGAACACAAATCGCCTGATGGAAGAACATATTATTATAATACTGAAACTAAGCAGTCTACATGGGAGAAGCCAGATGACCTCAAAACACCTGCTGAGGTAAACTAAATTCAGATGAAGAGTACTGTACTGTGCGAGTTTGTGTGAATGCCAGAATTTGCTAGCACAGCTATCATGCAGGAAGATAGCTGTGTCTATAGATCTTTTTCTAATGGGAGCAAACTCTTCAAATAATAAATGCTGCAGAAGTGTTCATATCACAATCCTTATGTTGGTAGAACTCGAGGCTGCAAAGTGGACAAAACTCTCAACTAATTTCCTCAATCTTTGAATAAATTTCTCTTATTAAAAAGATGGCATTCTTCATTTTTACGTAATTAATGTGTGTGCTTACCACTGGGGAGGATTTTCCTTGGAAGGTACACGCCTTGCATTCATTAATCCTTAAGTTATTTCTTGATGTAGTGTTTGTGTCTCACTTCTAGCTATCCTTTTAATTTTAGAACACCATTGCAAGTTTGATTTTATGTATTTGTTTTCTGTCCATTAGCAATTGTTGTCTAAGTGTCCCTGGAAAGAGTATAAATCTGATTCTGGAAAGCCCTACTATTATAATTCCCAAACAAAGGAATCGCGCTGGGCAAAACCCAAGGAGCTTGAGGATCTTGAAGGTAATATTAACAAAAATGAGTAGGGAGAGTGGCAGTGTGCTGCAAGTTGTGCATACCAAAGCATATTGGTCAAACTTCTGTTAAAGCTAAATCTGCTAAAATAAACTGTATGTAATAGAGTTAATACAGTCTGGGATTTTAATGGAGCAGTCTTGTCTCCAGCGTTCTCATCGCAGTCCCTTTTTCCATTATATCCTTAGTTCTTCCTTATGTGGCAGCAGCATCAGCTCCCCCTCGTGTCCCTAAGCAGGAACTGGGTTATGATGTAACTTCTTGTGGCTTGTTCAGGGCTTCATGCATGCTCGCTCTCTTTGTTAGCAGTAGGTAATGCTTCAAGTCTTCCTTCATTTTAGGGCTGTTACAGAAATTGTTTCATACATAGCCACTAGTCCTTTGGAAACTTGCAGGGACTTAGTAGGTTTTGTGATGGGGTTCAGGTTGATGGGGGAAGACGAGGCAGAGAGGCATCTGTACTAATCGTCATTCAGCTGGGATACCAGGGTAAAAGGGTGCTGGACATCTGTAATACAGTATAGTTTATAATAGAGTAAGAATTGCATTTTGTTTTGGTGTCTTGGAAGAATTTTGAAAACAGTAATGTATTTTATACTCTAAACAGTAGTACTGGCTGTCTGCTGAAAGGCAGAATTGTGTGTAAGGCTTTGCTTGAGTATCAATCCACTTTTAATTTTTGACAATAATTATTTGAGAAATTATGGTGTGGCACAGATATTAGTAATTTTTTATTGCCCTTTTGTATAATAAAAGCACTGTTCCCTTTTGTACAAACGTCATACAATGTTCTGGTCCTGTTTTTCCCTTTTAGAATGGTTTTGTTTGGTATTGTAAGGTGATGAAAAATCTACAATGTCAGCTGTGGTAAGAAATTAGTGTTTTAGAGAAATACTACAAAGAATAAACACCAGTGACTGTTAGAATGAAAAACGAGAGGTCTGTTTCAGTGAGCCTGACTTTTTCTTTAAACTAGTCTTTTAAAAGTTGAAATAATCATTTCAAACCAAGAAGTTGTTCGTTCTATACCCTGATCTATCTTAAATGGGATTTGTATTAATTTATTTCTGTCTTTAAAGGGTGTAAATATTAAAATTATTGATAGTAACAAAAATACTTAAAGCTATGTTTTTATTAAATAATGTTAACAGTTATTTTTTACCATGCATATATAAACTATTTTAGAAGCTATATTTTGATTATTTTTTCCCCCTTTCTCTTCTAGCAATGATAAAAGCTGAAGAAAACAGGTATGTTTTTAATGGTATGCTGATGTTTCTTACATTAAGCTGCCTTTTTCTTAAAAATGGAATCTGGTCCTTGAATCTTGTAACAGTCTCCTTGCAGCTTTTCATTCCAAATAGTGGCTTAATATATAAAACCTCAAATAATGTATTATAGGTTTACTTTTAACTGAACTGACTGGTCTACATATGTACAGTTTCAGTAAAGCATTTACTTTCTCTGAGCCAAGATTTTTTTTGTGTTCTTCTGAGAAGTTTTTGTTACTAGACCTAAACCTCTCTTCTTGTATTTTATTAACTTACTCGAACTATGTGTTCCCATAAGCCATTAAGTTGTCCCATGCTTGTATGTGACTGTTCCTGTTTTTTGATACCCATAGCACAAAGACTGAAGAATCAACTGCAGCGATATCTACTCCAGCTGCTGCAGCAGAAGTGACAACCACCACGGCCACAACTGCTGCTGAAACTGCTGCAGCTGTTGCTACCACCACTGCTGCTTCTGCAGGAACAGCAGCCCCTGAAGGAGAAACTGCTGCAGCTTCCTCTGGGGTAGAAAATGAGAGTACTGGCACAGCCACGGCTGAGGAACAGGGACAAGCAACTTCTGCGCCTGCTGTGCAGGAACAGACTGCAGAAAGTGCAGCTAACACAGATGACTCTACCAAGCAGGAGGCCTCAGCAGAGTAAGTGAAATGACAAAGTATGTGGCTTTGCTGCAGTTTTGTATTTTTTTTCTAGGATCTGGTTTGTCTTCAATTGTAGGTGGCCAGGCTTCTTTGACAGTTAGCATTTCTGCAGCAAAACATGAGCATGAATCAGTGGCAGCAAAGAGGAATAATGAGTAAGAAAGAGAGGAAGAAGTATTAAATATGGGTTTAGAAAAATGAATGCCCTCCCCTTGCCAACCCTCTCCCAAAATTCTTAAGCCCTGCAGAGAACATCAGTGATGTGAACATTTGCTAAATTTTTTGTAGCTCTTATAGTTACCCAAGGTAACATAATATGCTTAAATGTTTCCTGTTCCATAGATGTGTGCAACTGGCTGTTGGTAGAAGAAAATAAAATACTAAATAGATCTGTATCTGTTCCAGCAAAAGTGAGATCCTTTGTTATTTAATAATGGAGAATTCATTATGTGGAGAGTTAGAGTTTACGATTTTTATCATTCAAGCAAAAAGAAATGTGGTTTGGGGGAATTATAGCCAGCAGAAGATAACTAAGGGCAAGAGGAGTAGTTTTAGGGACGCCCCTTTATACTTTCATGTAATACATATATAAATATTTCTGCTAAATTTAAGTATTAGTTTTATGAACTCTTTCTAGATAACTTGAGCAGGTAGCTAACTGCATAGGTGGTAATACTTTTCTGAAATGGGGTTGGTTTTTTTTCAGTTGTGTATAGTATCTGTAAGGAAAAGTCTTGTACAAATTGTGGTCTTAGATGTAGCATTATTGTTTTCCTTTGTGCTGCTATATAAAAAACTTACTCTATCTGAGTGTCTTGAATTGAGATAAAATTGCTGAAATATTAAAATTGTTGATTTCTGTATATAGTTCTGCTTTAAAGAAAGAGGATGATGAAACCCAACCGGTTAAAAAAACCTACACATGGAATACAAAGGAAGAAGCAAAGCAAGCGTTTAAAGAACTGTTAAAAGAAAAGGTATTTTGGTCAAGTCTTCTTAATGCATTACTGAACTGCAAAGACTGCATTTGTCAGAAATTGCTAGACTTTTTTCTTGAAGAATTTTTCAGTGTTGTGGAAGAGGACTTTTGTACTAGACAAGAAATGAGGGAAAGAATACTACAGTGGGAAAAAAACACAGTTTAAACTTTTTTCCAGCTCTTTGGGTGAGTGGGGAAGTGCTGAATTTTCATCAGGGCTCTCAGTTCAGTTTTTTCTTATTTTCTTCCTTTTACATGATCTCCACTATTATGCAAACTTGTAATCTGGTCTTTGTCAAAAATTCAAACTGGAACAGTGAGTGATTTGATGGACAGCTTCATTAGATGCGTCAAAGATAGTGTAGACGTCCATATAAGAAAAGGACAAAGTGTTAGATATAGTTTCCGTGGCTAGTCTGATTTAAAGAAATTTATTTTTTTCCCTATGAAGTAGTAATTCTAAGACTGTATTTAAGTGTTGTGGAAATTATGGTTCTCAGTGGTTTTGGATGACAGTGAGGTACATTTCTAATAAACATGTCACCTGATCACCTGGGCCCTCAACTTCTTACCTTTGTTTTAAAGAGTGAGTGTAAAAAGAGACTGGCTTGGGTTTTCCCTCAGGGTATATGGGGTCTGTTTGTGTCTTGTACAGTCAACATAGTTTTTTTTGTAGTCAACATAGTTTTATAGTAGACAAAATTCCAGAAGAATTTATTGCAGAAACAGCGATAATCCCAAAAGTACCATGTTGACTGTTGTTAAAATCTAAAAAAAAAAAAAAAAAAAATAATTTGACAGAGTATTGTCTTAACCTCAAAAGTGTAGCGCTTTTGTTTTTCCTAAGGGATTTTTTAAGGAGTTGATCGCTGTTGGATGTTCATTCCAAATCTAATTAGTTAATGATTTAATGCCTTCACAGCGGGTACCATCCAATGCTTCTTGGGAGCAAGCTATGAAAATGATCATTAATGATCCTAGATACAGGTACTGCTTGATTCTTTCCTCCTTAGATTTCTCACAAATGTTGTTTTAGGAAGTTCGACTTTACTGACATAACTTCTGCTTGTTTTAATAGATATTTGTGCATTTGTGTATGTGTATCATTGTCAGGGAATTCTCTTCCTTTCCTGTGTAAAGAAATGCAAGTCCTAAGCTTAATTTTTCATTTGGAAAAGATGTGGCAGTTGTTGGTTTTATTTTGTGTATTATTTTCTTCGTAATAAAAGAATGTGTTTAGTTTCTAGGTTACTTTTGGAAATGAGTGACTGCTATAAAAATTGGCAGAAAAGTGGTTGATGTCAGTGATAAAAATAATATTGTAATGTGAAATTTGTAAATGCAACCTGAAAGCATGATAAGTAGCTTGTGTTTTATTATTAACTGCTTTTATTAGTAAGTACTTGTTTTACTGTTGTTTTTTTGGTTTTTTGGTTTTTTTTAAATGATCTTCCATTCATCCTGAGGGAGAGACAGCTAAGAACTGGCTATTTAGATTGTATTTAGTTTTGTCTCAAAAATCTGGATTATTAGAATCTGTTATTTCTTGGGGTTTTGGCTTTGCTTTTCTAATTTAGTTCCATTTTGTATAATTGACATTGTTTTCCTTTTCTTTCACACGAAGTGCTTTGGCAAAATTAAGTGAAAAAAAGCAAGCATTTAATGCATACAAAGTACAAACAGAAAAAGAAGAGAAAGAAGAAGCAAGATCAAAATACAAAGAAGCTAAAGAATCCTTCCAGCGTTTTCTTGAAAATCATGAAAAGATGACATCCACAACGAGATACAAGTAAGACCAGTATTAAGTGAAGTTCCAGCCTTTCCTAGCGTGCCAAGTTAATAATCAAATCTTGCTGGCTTGCTTTTAGTGAATGCTAACCTTAGTATATGTTCAGCCTGGAAAAGACTGTAACTGAAATTCTTATAGGAACACAAATAGTCTTATTTTCATAGAACGTGTTTAAGACCCAGGTAAAAAAAAAAGTAACTCTTGAGTGATGTGCAGATGATAATGAGTTGAGGTTCTAATAAGTAGAAATGAAAGATACATGAGAGAAGTTTTATATTACATCTGCCATTAAGAACAAAGTAGCTTGTTTGTGGGAGTTCATGCCCAAATGGAAGTATGTCTAGTAAGCTTGATGCTGAAAACTACATAGACCTGATCTTGTAGAATGTTTGCTGGAACTGTGACCTGAATGTGTGCTAGCCCTCAGAAAAGATACTGGTGCAGTGCACTGCATGTGAACTTGAGCTGCTGTGGAGAGGCCTGAATAGTGGCATCAGCTTTAATTTTTAGCTGTTACTTTTGTTTATAAGAGACAGAAGGGTGTCTCAGAAAAAGTTTTTCCCAAGAGAGAAAATTGGGGAGGTGCTATACAAAAGCATTACTGCTTAGAACAGAGTTCATTCTTGTTACTGTAAGCCGATGGGGCAGTTTAAGTCGGTGTTTACCAATATTGTGTGCTTTTTTCTTTGTTTTCCACAGAAAAGCTGAACAAATGTTTGGGGAAATGGAAGTCTGGAATGCAATATCTGAGCGTGATCGTCTTGAAATTTATGAAGATGTCTTGTTTTTTCTGTCTAAGAAGGAGAAGGTAACTTTCTTTCAAACTTATTTGTAAGATAATTTATACTCTTAGTAAAGAAATCTTGCAAGCAGTGCAGTTCTGAATGTTGTTCAAAGACAGTCAAAATGTTCATAGCAGGGAAGGAATCTAATAAAGGCATGGAGAGCCAAATGGGAATGTTTCTGTGTTAGTATGAACCATGTGCTGCTCGCAGGTTCCAGGGTCTGTTTACACCCTCTCCAAAGGACAAGAGAGAGAAAAGAAGAGAGGGAGGCAAGGTTTATCAGCTGTAAGACACTACAGAGAGGGAGCTCCACTTTAGCAAGATGCGATGGGGCAAGGGTACAAGTAAAAAAGCACTAGTGGGACTCTTGACAACTAGGACTGATTTTGTAGACATGAATTTGGAGACAGTTGTTCCTTATTTCTTATTATACAGTACAAAAGGAGTGTTCAGTAGAGTTAGCAGGCAGAAGGTGATGAATCCTTACCTAAGTAAACTACTGGAAGTTGTGTTCTTACACAGCTGAAGATGAGCTCCATTTCATGAGCTTTTCCCATCTTTCAGAAACAGAGATAACAGTAGTGAAATAGTTTCTCTGGATGCAAGCAATAATAGCATGTAAAAATTCTGTGTAGATCTAAATAGTATATGTTGCTTAACATGTAAATGAAAGGTTATTTTTCTTTGTTTTCATAGAGAACAGACTTGAGGGGTCATGACTTTTTGTACACACAACCTCAAATTTAACAACAAAAAAAATTATGTTTTCTCCTCAGGAACAAGCCAAACAGTTACGAAAGAGGAATTGGGAAGCTTTGAAGAACATACTAGATAACATGGCTAATGTCACTTACTGTACCACTTGGTCAGAGGCGCAGCAATATCTGATGGACAATCCTACATTTGCAGAAGATGAGGAACTTCAGAGTATGTAGAAAGTCTTATATGTTTCTTTTGGAAGGGGGAGTGAATTTGTCTTCAGACGCAGGGACCCCTGGCTGGGTATGGCTTACTCTTGCCCAGTCCATGACTGCTCTGACAGCTGCTGAGCAGCCTGTGTGAAGGACCCTGTCTTGTTTGGTTCCTAGGAAACAGATGTCAGCTTCAAAAATCCTTACTGATTAATCCAAATGACTAAACAAAGGATACCTTTCTTCAGGAGGGAATTGAATTGCTTTAGTAGTTGTTAGCCTTTGAAATTCGAAGTATTATTTGATAATGTAATCTGTGTTGCAGATATTTACACTGCCTTCTGCTAGACTTGAGTGAGGTCCTGCTGTGTTTGCTTACTGAGAAAAGTAATTGGCTTTACTCTTCTAGAGTAAGAAGGTAGTTTTTCCATTATGAGCACATTTTTCTCAAAAATTAGTTGATCCTGTATTTTAAAACCAGCATACCCATTTACAGAGCTGCTAAAGCATTTGACAAAGATGTTCTATCTTCTTACCTCTGTCCTGTGTTTAAGATGCCTGTGGTAATGCTGGGAGATGCACAAGTGCTCATCCACAATACTTCTCTCATAAAGTATCTTCTGTGCTCTGTATTGGCAATGCTAAGTTATCCATTTTGCGGGAGGTTGGGTTTTGCTTCTGCACAGATATTCATATATTTCAGTGCTCAGTGAAGCTTCTACTCACAGTAACAATCAGCAACCATTATAGTAAGAAACTTTACAGTTAGAAATGCCTAATTTTTATTCTTATCACTGTTACCTGTTGCTAGACATGGATAAGGAGGATGCACTGATCTGTTTTGAGGAACATATCAGGGCATTGGAGAAAGAGGAGGAAGAAGAAAAACAGAAGAGTTTGCTTAGAGAAAGAAGGCGGCAGCGTAAAAATAGAGAATCTTTTCAGGTTGGTGGACTTTGTTGTTCTGTCCTAGATGTGTTATGTGGTTAGGTATTCTATGCAGGTTTTTTGTTTCTTGGGGTGGGCTGACAGGTGAATATATGTCCTTTATCAACATTTGTAGCATTTTGTCTGCTGTATAATACAGCTGTTTGCCAGAAAACTACAAGTTTAGGGGAAAGGAAAATAGTTTAGAATGGAAAACAAATGCAATTGGAACATTGTAAATGGTGGAGGAAGGCAGGAAGAAATGATACATAAAATGATTTTTCAATCGCATTTTTAACAAAAACAGAATTCCAGTTATCAACAGTATCTATTCCAACTGCTAGCCAAGTAAAAGGATGATGAGTGACTACAAATTTCCATTTCATTTGTATTTTGTAGCTATTTTTAGATGAACTGCACGAGCATGGACAATTACATTCAATGTCCTCTTGGATGGAGTTGTACCCAACCATAAGCTCAGACATCAGATTCACTAATATGCTTGGTCAGCCTGGTAAGAATACTGTCTCTGGCAGCCCTTAGAAAGTAAGGTAAAGGTCTTGGATTTGGGGCAGTCTAGAACAGGGTTATTTGTATATTTTTCTAAGTGTCTAAAAAAATGCAGCTCTTGTATTAGAGCTAGCTTTTGACTTATCTAGTTTTTTCATCAGGATCCACAGCACTTGATCTTTTCAAGTTTTATGTTGAAGACTTGAAAGCACGTTACCATGATGAAAAGAAGATAATAAAAGATATCCTAAAGGTGAGAGGGGAAAATGCTCTGTTATGTGGTTTCTTCTTTTAATGCCCAATACATCATTCAAGTGAACTCTTTGCTACTGGGAGATGGGATTTCGCATTGCATTAATGTCACATGCATTAGCACTGAAGTGAGAGTTCCTGACTTGCCTGATGCCAAAGAAGTGCTTTTCTTACAGGATAAAGGATTTGTGGTTGAAGTGAATACTTCCTTTGAAGATTTTGTTACAGTCATCAGCTCAACTAAAAGAGCTACTACTTTAGATGCAGGAAATATCAAGCTGGCTTTCAACAGTGTAAGTATTAATATGTAGGAGTGTTTGAAAACTTGCAATACAAAATCTCTCGTGAAAACAAGAATTAGCAATTGTTTTTACTTACAACTACTTTCAAAATATTTGAGAGATGCTGTGCTTTAGAGTTGCTTATCCTCATAGGAGTTCCCAAAATAAGGACTGCAGAGGTGTGTCTTTATTCAAAACATAGCATTACTTAATTCCTACTACAGAATTTCTCAAGTTGAAATGTTTATCTCATACTTTTCTCATGAGGGAATGTTTTTGTCACTGGGCTTTCCAAAACTGGCATGGAACTGAATTACTAGTTTTGTTTGATACAGCTGCTAGAAAAGGCAGAAGCGCGTGAAAGAGAGAGGGAAAAGGAAGAAGCTCGCAAAATGAAGCGGAAAGAGTCTGCCTTCAAGAGTATGTTGAAGCAAGCTACTCCTCCAATTGAATTGGATGCTGTCTGGGAAGATGTATGTATTGTCACTGAGTTATGAAAGTCTTTCCAAGTATATTTAACAGGCTGCTGCATCCTAATGCTTTTATAAGTAAACCTGGGTTCTCGAAGCTCGTAATGTAACTTAAACTCTCATAAAAATTGTCTTGCCATTTATTCAGTAAAAGTCAAGATTTGATGGGAGTAACTCATTGACTGATATTTTCATTTGGATACAATTTATAACAAAACTCCTTCAAAAAAACCAAACCCCAGACAAAAAAACCCCAATCAAACAAACACCCCAAACAACAACAAGCTACCCAAAAAAGCAGCCCAAAAATTAAACCCAAACAAACTCTTAAAAAAAAAAAAATATTGCAGAGTGCCCCTAACTTCATTTAAATGGAGATAAAGCACTCTGCTTGCTCAGAAGTCTGTAACTTTGTTCTCATCAAGATCACCTTTAAAAACCTTTCCTCTCAAAGTATAGTTTGTATAAAAAAAATACATGTTTTAACAAGCATGTGTGGCTTAAATGACACATGCAGAAAAAAGTGTCTGATTTTGTCTGCTTCCATTTGCTACAGTCTCATAAAGGCTGGTTGTGAAGCTGGCATAAAAAACACCAATGTTTCGCCTTGTAACAGTACAATGGCTTTTTGAACTGGTGAACTTGTGTCTCATTATTTCCATTTCTGACTGGCTGTATTTCATATTAGTATTTCATTGCTGCTTTTCTTACAGATCAGAGATAGGTTTGTGAAGGAACCAGCATTTGAAGACATCACTCTGGAGTCTGAAAGAAAAAGAATATTTAAAGATTTCATTCATGTACTAGAGGTAATTATTATTTTATTTTTTCCTGATTTGGGGGTATACAAAAAGATGCTTAGATGTTTGACTCTTAAATTGTGTAGCAAGGGGGAGGGATTTAACAGAATTCTAGAGATTTCTGTTTCAGTGGACATGGTGTGTTACCTGAAAGTAAGAGATACTTAAACTTCATTGTGAAAGGAAGGAACAGAAGAAATGTGTTAAGAGTTGATATTACTTAATACTTTAAATCTGCTTCCCTACAAGAATTTTCAGAAGTTAACATCAAAATTTCCTGGTTTATTTGAGGAATATTGTTCAGTGCCGTGATTTCATACAAAACATGATGAAATAGGAAATAGAACTTCTGCAGTATTTTATTCACTGCATATGTGGAACTTCAAGAGCATACTAAGCACTGCAGATGTACTTTATTATTTTCCTGTAGCAAATCTTTTGCTGGTGTCCAAACAGGATGGTGTAGTTCAGTTTCATCCTTAATTTTTGGGTGGGCCACAGTAGGAGTTAAGCTGCAGAAGATTTGACAAGTCATTCTTGTTAAATAAGGTGCTGTTTTTTCCTAGATAATGCTAGATTTGGTTTTGCAGCACATGCTCTGTGGGGTTTTTTCCAGTTCCTGGGGTTTGTAAGAGCTTTTTTTTCTTTTTCTTTTTTTTCTTTTCTTTTTTTAAATGGGTTAATTTCAGAATTTCAGATTTGGCAGAGCAAGGCATGCAGTGTGTTCTAGGCCATCTTGAGCAGGGGTTTTAAATGGGAAGCACTGAAACAGGGATCCAGGTAATGGAAGCTGCAAGCATCGTTTCCTTGTTCCTAGGTGCTTGTTAGGACAACTTTAACATGGGAATACTGGTAGCTGTTCATGGGGTTTGTCACACTAAATGTGTGATTATGTGGGGGTTTTAACCACTGCTAGCCAGAGATGGGTTTGTGGATGATGAGGAACATCATTACAGTTTCTTGCTGTGTCCTGTAGACAGTCAATGATAACATTTCCCTTCTCTTGTACTCCAGCACGAGTGTCAGCATCATCATTCAAAGAACAAGAAACATTCTAAAAAGTCTAAAAAACATCACAGGAAGCGATCGCGTTCTCGCTCGGTAAGGTGTTACACGATTTAAAACCTGCTTCTGTAACTACTCGTAATGCAGTGTTCTTACTGATCACATTGGGTTTGTGTCTCCAGGGCTCAGAGTCTGAGGATGATGACAGCCATTCAAAGAAGAAAAGGCAGCGTTCAGAGTCCAGATCAGTTTCTGAGCGCTCTTCCAGTGCAGAATCTGGTATGAGATTTTTCGTGTTCATTTTTAAATTAATGTTAATTTATTCTGAGGCTTTATAATTTTACTGATGTGGTTTTGTTTCTTTCTATGTCTGCAGAGAGAAGTTACAAGAAGTCAAAAAAGCACAAGAAAAAGAGCAAGAAGAGAAGACATAAGTCTGTAAGTACAGTTGACTTGAGTTGGCTAATGGACAACCTGACATCTTGTGGTTTCAGTCATCCTTTCTGGGTATCTAGTCCACTCTGGTGAGACCCCCATTTGGGCGTGCTGCATCCAGCTCTGGGGTCCCCAACATCAGAATATGGACTTGTTGGAGCAAGTCCAGAGGAGGCCACGAAGGTGCTCAGAGGCTGGAGTACCTCTCCTATGGAGACAGGCTGAGAGACCTTGGAGAAAAGGAGGCTCTGGGGAGACCTCAGAGCAATTTCCAGTGCCTTAAAAGGGCTGACAAGAAAGCTGAAGAGGGACCTTTGGCAAGGGCATGTAGGGACAGGACAAGGGGGAATGGCTTTAAACTGACAGGGAGGAGATTCAGATAAGAGGGTGATGAGGCCCTGGCACAGGTTGCCCAGAGAAGCTGTGGCTGCCCCATCCCTGGCAGTGTTCAAGGTCAGGTTGGACGGGGCTTTGAGCAACCTGGTCTAGTGGAAGGTGTCCCTGCCTGTGGCAGGGGGTTAGAACTAGATGAGCTTTAAGGTTTAAGTGCAACCATGCAAGCAAGGTGTAAGGGACTGTATTAGCAGCCTGGTATTTGCAGTTGATCATGGCAAATCTTGGTGTTCACTTCTACTGTGGAGAGCTGTGAAGGTATCCAGCCATCTTTTCCTTTTGCCTGATAGTGGGCTTTGTTCCTTTTGTCTGCTTTTGCGTCAGGGTCACATTAGAAGCTCTGATCATCAAAAGGGTTTGAAGAGCAGAAAGAGAGCTTTCACTCTATCAGTTGAAGGCAAAGAATATTTTTTTGTCCTGGGTAAAGAAACTAACTTGGGTCTCTGACCTCACACTGGCTGCAGAACTCTTCAGAACATATTCTTTATGCCTGTCACTTACAAGCAGTTAGCTGTACCTGACAGCAGACAAGTGTCCACAGTGACAGAGAGGATGTTAATAGTTACCTATTGAGTAAGATATTAGTGCTGAAGGGTTGTGACACAAACAGGTTCACATAAGCTTAGCAACACTGGGATGAAAGTGGAATAAAGCCACAGTCACGCCACCTAATCCCTCACAGTATGGTTAATATCCAGAAAAAGCCCATGAGCATTAAGGCAGTCGAGCACAGCCAAGCAGCTGTGTGACAGAAAAGTGTTTACCAGATGTCACCCTTTCTGGAGATCTTACTGAACAGATGACAGTTGTGCCCAGGAGAGATGTATTATATGGCATCCAGCATGCACTGGGAACGGTGAACGTTCTTTGGTATTGAACAAACTTCTCTCCTCCTCAGATCACTTCAGTAACCTTTCTTGCATTACTTACTTCTGTGATGGTTAATAAGATGTGCCTAATTAGTAACCACTTCACACAGTTTTCCTAATGGTCTATATTGATATGAAGTCAGCTTTTTTTGAGGTGTGGTTATTCTAGGAACAAATATTTAATATATTTAATATTTCTTCTTTATTTACACAGGATTCACCCGAATCAGACATTGAACGAGAAAAAGACAAAAAGGAAAGAGAGAGGGAGAGTGAAAAGGATAGAGCTAGGCAAAGATCTGAATCAAAACATAAATCTCCTACTAAAAAGAGACCTGGAAAAGATTCTGTAAGCTTTCTTGTTTCCTTTTTATCTGGTACTTTGGGCTTCCTGTGTAGCTGGGATGCTGTAGCATAGTACTAGAGCTTTACAGGTGCACTGTAAGGTGCTAGAGCTTTCTTTATGTCCTGCTTCCATTTATATATAAAAAGGACCAAATGTTCAAGCAGAGCTTAACCATATAGCTTCTATGCCCTCATTTAGGGCTTTGTTACTGATGGGTGAAAGCACTATTTGATAAAATGCTATTTATTGTGGATGTAAAGTGTGACTGAGGCACATTATTTTCTAGAGGGTATTGAAGTTTGGTCCATACTCTGACAAAGCAGCGCATGCGACTGAACTGCTGCTCTTTTCAGTCTGATTGGCCAGACTGAGCTCAGGACACACAGCTGGTTAAACACTGGAGCGACTCTGCAACACCTGCCCTCTAGAATCTTAGTAGCTGCAGTGCTGGGCTGACACTGGGAGGAAATCTCAGTGGAACGAAGTTCTGCAATTCTTGCACTTTTCAAGCTGGCAAGTCCTGTGGGAGCATGTCTGTGACTGCAGTCCTGCCCTTGGCTGCCATGCTGTGCTCCTTGACTTGTTTTGGAGGGGTTTAGAAGTGTTTGAGAAGATGCATACAAGTGTTTGAATGAAAAAGGCAAACTGCTTGTGGTTCAGTATTTTCTGGGTCTCTTGGAGGGCGAGTTATTCGCCTCGCTCTGGTTATTTAGATTGTGGTGGTGATCATGGTGGAGGTGGCCTCCTGGGTAAAGCCCCATATATTCCACCTTCAAGAAGAGATGGTAGGGCAGGTGTCTGCTTTTTACATTATTGTCTTAAAATAAGCTGCTTGGAAAAGCTCCCAGCGTGGCATCTCCTGAGAACATGAACTCGGGTGTGATAGAGCACAGTCTACAGGAGGACCGGGGCTTAGCCTGCCATGTCTCCTATGCCCTCCCCACTTGTTCTGGCTACCACTCTTGGAACTCCTGAGTATGACACCAGCAGCTTCCTGCACCCTGTGCTCCTGTATTGCTGCCGAGGCCACAGGAGTTGTGGTGGGGCAAAGGTGGCGCCAACGTGGCCTGGAAGCCCTTTCATTCTCACCACTAACCTTGCTTCTCTCTGCAGGGGAACTGGGATACTTCTGGCAGTGAACTGAGTGAAGGGGAGTTGGAAAAACAGAGGAGGACTCTTTTGGAACAACTGGATGAAGATCAATGAGAACGTTATTTATACCAAATATGTTTACATTGTGGCATAATAAAAGAAACCAATGTCTAATTCAGGACGCGGGTTCTGATATCCTGAGTTCCATTGCTGAAATGACAGCGGGTTTTAATTTTACAACATAAACACAGTTGAGTACTACTGTTACGGGCCTGGCATCAAATCTAGAGAAGCAAATGAAATTCCGAGTGCAAAGCTGAGTGTCCGTCCTGGAGCTGCCAGGCACCATGGGCACTCTGCTCACCACAGAGGAAACGCTCTGCAGGGAACACCGCCGAGGAAGGCAGCGCAGTGCTCGCTGGATCTTGTCTGCAGGCCCAGGGAAGTGTTGGCTCCATCCTAGCAAAGAATTGTCTCAGTCCAGTCCTTCCTAGAAAGGTAGTAATGCTGGTTGTCTGGCCCATGTAGGCAGGTAAAACTTCATTTGTAGAAAGAAATTCTTAATACAGTTTCTTGTGGTTTAATTTGTTTGATGGATTTGTGCTTATTTTGGAGAGGGGAAGGCAATGGGAGTAAGGAATCCAGTTCTTGATCTGTAGCTAAAAGAACCCGCTGTTCGAATTGCTCTTTTGTGAACTGCAACACTGGCCAAACCACATGTAAGCTTTTGTACAGAGAATTGACATCTGGCTCTGGCTTGAGTCTGAATACTCTCTTAGAGTGAGTTTTTCCTGTAAATTTTCAAAGCCCTGGACCTGTGGTTGATGGGGATGTTGACCAACCCTTCCTTGCAGTGCCAGCAGTGGGGTGTATGCCTCACAGCTGCCTTGGGTTCCCCTAAAACCCCATTCCCAGCAGCCACGGGTGCTACATCAGCATTTATCTCCACATGAACAAAATTTAGTAATAAAAATCAAACTGTAAATTAATCTCAATGTGTTGCCTTAAGAACCTGCTGAGGAATGTACCACCACCTTGGGCTGCTGCCCGTCCCCTGTGTGCTCATCCCTGGCCAGCTGCTTCGGGGGAGGATTCCCAGCCATACCAGGGGAGTGGTGGCTGCAGAGACCAAGGTCAGAAACTGTTCTCATTGGAATATTTTTGTACATTTTTATTGATGATTAAACCTTCTCTTCTAGTGTGTACTAGTACTTATTTCTACTTTTAAAGGCTCTGTACAGCTGTCATAAGTTATAACTGTCTTCCATGTGTTGGATTTAAGCAACCTAGGCACTCACACCAACAAAGGGGAGACAAGTCGGAGTTCAGCTTCCTTCTCCGTACATTTTTTCCCCAGATTCAGACAGCAGTTACTAGTGCATAAATCGCTGAAAGGCATGGCCTGTACAGCGTATTTCCCTGCTGGGCTGGTTCTGTGATTCAGACTTACTAAGAATACTATTGGATTGAAATTACTAATTCGCAGTAGAAAACGCTGGTGATGGCTGATCCCTGTGGATTGGCGGAATAACCAATCACCAATCACCTCAGGCTTCTCAGGAGGTTCCATATAGAGCATGTGCCAATATGGGCATTTCCCCTGGCGTGCAGAGCTTTTCGGGGAAGACCACCTGAGTTTGGTCAAACAGGACTTGAGTAACTCTTTGTATCGTGTGGCATTTCCTGTCCATGCCTGGGAAGCTGCCACCTGAGGCAATGTCGGTGGCAGCTTTTCCAGGTTCCCCCCACTGCAAAGCAAGTGGCTCTCCAGTGCTGGGGCGGGTGGGGTAGCACCTGATACTCCCAGGTCTGCCACCACCTCATAAATGTGTATTTTGTGAACTGTGTAAAAAGTCCCTTTTCCTAGATAGAGATTTGAAAATGGAAACACACAGCTTGTGTAGCAGGCAGCAATGCTCGTATGGAGAACAGCCCCACAGGAGGGTGACGGAGCGACACAGCCGACAGAGCACTGGGCTGCAGGGGGACAGCAGAGCGCTGAAGCTGTCAGCTGTGACCGTCTGCGAATGTGCTAGAACTTCTGCGTAATATTTTATTACTGCCTTGCATTTGTGTAACCACCCTAAGGAAAAAGTGTTTCTAAGTAAATACTACTTTTAAAAGGTTTGCCTTTATTTTTCCATTAAAAATAAAAAAAAACCCACAGCTTTAAATGTAAATTACTCTAATGGGTTTTTTCTGTATGCCTTAATTGGCTTTTGCAAAAGAAATGCATCTTAAAACAAGACTGCTTTCAACTAATCCTAGCAAGGCCTAGTTTAGTTTTTTTATAGGAAATTACTTCGGGCTTTTTTGCAGGTTATTCTCTTCAAATTTAGAACTTTTGTTTGTCCTGTTGGGTTCTGTTTACTTATGGCAAACTGCTTTACTTGTTGTCACTCATTTTCACAAGGGAGGTTCCATTGCCTGGTGTCTCACAGTGCAGGCCTTGAACAGGGAGCTGGAATTCATCCCCTCTGCCTCCTGTGAGCCCGGCTGTGCTGTTACCAAGGGTGAACTGATGGTGTGAATGACCTGGAGCATGATTTCCAGCATTTATCACTGGTAGCGGAGGGCAGGAGGTGAACTCCAGGGTCCTAAGGGGTGGGAGAGGTGCCTGTGGGGTGTCTTCCCTTCCTCCCCCAACTCCAACAGCCCCAAAGAATCACACTGCAGTGTCAGTACAGTCACTTCTGCCCCTGCAGTCACCTGGCACATGCCACCGTTTGTCAAAAAAACTTGAAAGTGGCCCAAAAAACTCCTCTGGATTACTGCGTAGTAGTGTAAATAGTTTATTTGATCTTATGCCAGGAACAGACCAGGAAAGTAACATGAACTGCTTTTATAAAACACTTCTAATATTGCTAAGAAGCGGGTCTATTACTAGAAAAATATTAAAGAGAACATGCCAGCATTATATTCTAGTTGTATGATAATTTTTGCTTTCAATTAAAAAATCGCTGTTCAGCTTAAGCATGTGAGAGCAAGTGCTTTTAACCCTTTGTCTAACAATTGATTAAATTAATTGTCAAATTTTCTTACGCAGATTAAAATACTCTTCTGTCACTGCCTGTGAAGAAAGAGGTGGTTTGGCATGTTCTCTTTAGCATGTCAAGTACACGTTGCTGTAAATGCAAGAAGGTGGCAGTTTTTAAAGTAAACTTCCTGTAAATAGGTAAGCAGAGGTCAATGTGGTAACTTTGAGCCCCAAACTGTCCATTTAGTTAAATATAAAAACAAAAACTATAAGTTAAAATAACATTCAGATTGTATAGCACAGGCTGATGCTTTTTTTTTTTTTAAACAATATTTACAATATTACCCAGAGGCTAAAGTGGGAATAAAAGAGAAGTGTAAAAACCATAAAAAACTGCACCAATTTTGTAGCAAAATATCTGTACATTTAAAAACAGATTATCATATAACTACACATTATCCAAGAAAAAAAAGGGGACCTTCACCAGTGGTTCACGTAAGCACAACGTAAAAGAAAAAGAAATTCAGTGGTTAAATACTATACAGTAAATTTTACAATTAACATATTGATGCGATGAGACCAGGCAAGGTAAGCTGTAAGCAAAACGTATCTCGGGAAGTTCAGTTCAGTCCAGTTCTTTACATATGAGAAGATCGTGTGCCCTGCCGGCATGAGCTCGGCTTCGTCTTGCTGCTCAGGGATTCTGGTGCAGACCAGCAGCGCGGGGTGCATCGCGTGGCTACAGTCACTCTCACGTCCCTTTTATCGTTAAAAAGCAATGTAGAACTTAAAACCTACCAGGATTTTTAGGCTGGGCTTCCCTTTGCTGACCAATGATCCTTAGATATTGTCCAAGGAACTTGGCATTGGAACAGGGCGTTAATCCGACAGGGCAGGGCACAGGATGGTTCTCCGCGCCAGGAACTGAATTGCGACGGTCCTCAGAATCCTAATACTGATTATTGAGACGTTAATACCTTAGTGCTAATTAATAAATACACTGTTATTCCAAAGCTGACGCTAGCTAGAGAGCCTTCGCCACCCTCCTCACCCTGTGCATTCACATTTGCCCCCCAGCACCTCCAAGGCCTCAGCCCCGCACTGCACACCACAACCACGGCAGCTGCGAGATGAAGATTCGTGTCTGTTAGTTAGCTGCGCACCTGATGCTCACTGACATACACGGCAGCACAGCCTAGCTACGGTGGCACAGGCTCTGCGTGGTGGGAAAAGGTACAGGTCTCTTCCTGGAACTAATTCCATATTACATACAGAAAGCCCTTAGAAGTCTTCCCTTTTTTTTTTGGAGGTTGTGGTTTTTTGTTTTTTTTCTTAAAAAAAAAAAGGGAAAAGCCAGTAAGTGCAGCTGAAGCCAAGGTTAACCCCTCGGTGGACAGCACAGGAATGTATTCAAAAGCAGAGCACATCCAGGTATTCCCTGTTTACAACCAGTCGGGATGCAGGTCAGGTCCACAGGAGACCAGTCACTAAACTTTTATATAACCAAACCAAACACCCAAAACCAACACATATTTTACATTTTGGTTAAAAATACTGAATAATGTATTGGTGTAAAAAGATACCCAATCAAATCAAGTCCTATTGCTTTGATTAATTTGAGCAGGTACTTCAATTTTAGGCACTTGTTAGCTATGGTTGAGTGGAGAGCCCATCGTTGACGTTCCTATGCATTTTCTAGGTCTTTGAGCCCTTTAGAAAGTAAATTTTACCGTTCCCCAGGCTGTGAGTGAGTGGCAGAACATAGAGCTGACACAGACAAGGTATCATGCAAGCACCCCCTTTCCTTGACACCTGCAGCCTCCAGCTCACATGGTTATTTCAGCACCGTTTGCAGAGCGCAAGTTCTGATCATCGAAGCGTCGCCTGACGCTCCTCCTCACCGCGTCGGCCCGTCGGTACGGCTGGTTTCTAAGATCTGCGGAGAGGAAAGTGGCGTTTGTGAACACGCACGGCTCGCCCCATGCACACACACACGCACACACACACACGCAGTCTAGACAAGGAAAAGTCCTGCTGGAAGCCAATCAAAGCAGCTTGTGTAGGAACAGGAGAAGGGACTTCACCCCAACCAGAGCAGAAGTGAGCAAATACTGACGTGCCCTTTTACTACGCCCCCAAGCAGCAGGTAATACTGGTGAAATGTGCCAAAATGCTGGCAAACTAACTGGAGTTATGCCGACAGGTTAGTCTGACTGTCTCCCCGCCCAGGTGCAGCTACTGTTTGTTAATGTCAGTCAGAAAGGCAACATCGATTGAAATTTGCCTTGTTCCTTCACGCACCTTCTTGAACACCAGTGTGCGCTGAAGGGGATTTCTAAGGCAGGATGATGTGTGACCCACTGTATAATGGCGCAAGTGTTTAGCATCACAGGGTAGATCTACGATCCCCATGTACCCATTTACCTAAGAGAGGGTGCCCTGAGATAAAGCAGCTGCAACTGGCTTGCAAAGCTGCAGCTGCCGTCCTGCCCCACTGGCACAGTCTTGCCAGGCTGCAGCAGAACAGCCAATCCCTTCCCTCCTCCTCAACCGACCCTCCTGCTGCTGCTGCTCTTGGGAGGTGGGAGCTCAGAGGGAAGAAGAAGTGACATGGAACATGCGATGGATTGAACAGTGGAGGAAGCTGGAGATGGACATGTTGATGAAAGCCTGTTACATGTGCTGTTACATGTCCAGCTATAAGCACATCTGGGACACCTGAAGACTAATTTAAGCTGGAAAATAAATATGTGTTGGACTGGGAAAAGCCCTTAAATGAGGTTTTTTTGTTGTTGGGTTTGGTTTTTTTTTTGCATTGTACTGGGCAACACCCCCCCTCCCATTCCCTGGATGACTTATGCCTTGGCTTAAATACAGCTCCCAAACTTCTCAGCTCTTGGTGTACCCAGCAGATGGTGCCTTTGTTCGAGGCTGCCCTCTCCCATCTCCACGCTCCAAGCTGATGGCTGTCCACCACTCCTGCCTGTTCAATGGCTGTAGTAGGGCCAAGACAGGGGCAGCAGTGTGTTCAGGATTAATGGGAGTCTGAAACAACCTGGGGACAAGACTGCCTACACCTACGGCTAAACTGGGAAGAGAAAGGGCCAAAATGGAAAGAGCGTGAAGACGGTCCCCAGCCAATGGCCTGTGGATCCCCCTCACCACAGAAGGTGAAAATAAATGGCCTCGGTCTCCACTGGCCTTTAGGCTCTCACCAGTATTACGCTTAGCCACATCTACCAACAGGCTGTCTGGCAGACAGAGAGAGGAGGAAGCTAAGTAAAAAGTGATGCTTGCCAGCTCTGTGTATCCTCCACCACCGGTGTGCTAGAAGAAATCCTTACCCTCGAGTGAACATTTGGAAATTTAGTGATATTATTCTTCTTTAGGGCTAAACAGAAAAAAAACAACAAAAAAACAAAACAAAACACAAAATGATGGTTAAGTAAAAAATGGGATGGAAAATGAAGAGCAAGTCAACTCAGCATTCAAAACTCCCAGGCACGTTAGCCAACAGATCAGGAGGGGGGAGGCCAAGGCTACGAGAAGAGGTTAGACACAGAGAGGAAAGGACAGGAGGGCCACCCTCGCCTCTCGCTAACCAAATTCCAAGCTGCTTTGAAGATTGGCTCCAGGAAGATAATACAGCAATTAACTTGAAAGAGCAAATAACCGTTGAGCTGATAGTTTGCAATTTTATTAATTAGAAGCATTCACGAAAATACATATCGCAGAAGTGAAACACTGTTGTCTTCTTAAGCCACGGAGTCCTTAATTCAAGACAACAGTGCTAACAGACATGCTGGGTTAAACATCCCTTCTTACACTTTACACCACACGATGTAAACTGCTCAGTTCCATGTCAAGTTTTTCATTGTCACCATTTCTGCAGTTCTGGCATGTACCAAAGTGTTTTCCCAGCTCTGCTCCTTCTCTCTCCCCCATGGTTCACATACCAAGGCCAACCCCAGCACTGCCCAAAGTTCAAGTGAATTGGAACTGGTCAGCACTCAGTGCATGCTTCTGATTTTCTTTAGATCAAGTTGGCATGGAACTGAAAAGAGTTAATTATGGATGTGACCGAATGAGAGAAGATTTCATGCTGTTTGTTTTATCCTGTATCTCACATGCAGACAAACATGCTGGTTAAGAAGTCTAAAACGCAACACTCCTCGCAGAGGACACAGAAAACCCTTCCAAGCCAGAAAGCCAACCCCAAGAAAGTCCAACTTAGTTCATGCCACCCATAACTTTGCTTTGGCATACAGCTGACATAGTGCATGCATTTTACATCAGTAGACTGGCAGACAGAGAAAGATCTGTAGGCCAGAAGAGATGACATAGAAAAGCCAAGTGAACTGTCACTTTTTGACTGAATTTGATCTCGTAATTCTTGTGAACTGCAGGAAGCCTGCACCACATCTACTGTGACTTCCACCACTTGCTGTTCTATGGTATTTGACGTGAGGGCGAGAGATGCCTTTGAAACACAAGGATGGCCAAAAGCATCAAGCGCAAAGTTGATGGGATGGAATAAAAAGTTACTGAAACACAGACATGCAACAGAGATGACATAAATAAAACTTCAGGTGGACGCTGGACATTACTATACACTCAACATTCACATGATCCTGGCTGAGATCCGTACAAATGGAGAAGTGTCAAAAATCTACAGCAACCTTTCTTTTTTCTAAGAGCATCAGATGTGAAAAAGGAATAGTTTAGTAATGGAATTCCTCAGTGAGAACAGGTTCGCAGAAAAACCGAGAGCCCCGCTTGGCGGTTCGAGCAGTAAAGGGCACAGTCTTCAGCACTGCATGGGAATAACAGCCAAACAGACAAACAGAGCCGTGAGAAGCGGATCTATCGCATTAGTACAGTGTTAGTGCTCGGTTACGGACACCCAGGGGTAGTTCTACATGTTCCAACCAGTTGCCTAATAGCACTGCACTTCAGCAGGCTTTCAATGAGGCAGTTGCAAGTCTTTGAGTAAGTATTTCTTATATTACATCATTTTCAATCAGCTTGAGAGACTACTGCTAAATGTGCTCCAGAAAAGGGTGTGGTGTTAGGCAGAGCTCTGCTGTGGACCGCCAGAGCTCTCCTGTGCATCTGATGAGGCACTATCCAGTTTAGAACAACACTTCTGATCCTTTCCATACCGCTGACACAGATCTCATGGGCCATATTCACCTGACCTTGGTCCTACCTGACTTTCTGTGCCTAACTTTTTTTATTACTTTATTATTAGTCTGGCACTCCCCCCAGTGGACTGCCTTTTGAATGTGGATGATCTTGCGCCACGCAATCTGTTTCTCCCACAGAGCAGGAGAACCACTTCACCAATTAACCAAGCTTCCAGGAGTCTGCAGGAGTTGTGGAAGCATTAACAGATTAGATATTACAGCAACTCTGCCCTTTAAATAAAGAATAGTATCTTAGGAAGCTATTAATCAAGGTTAAAAAGAGTTGTGAAAGCTTCAAGCATGTCAGCCCTGTCATCTAGTTGGGCAAAAATGCCCTGGCTTTCCTTAGTCAGCGGTAAAACAGCTCTCCTGTCCTCCTACAGGGAAAATTTTCAAGAGCAGGAGCCAAGAAAATCCTACCCAATGAGCTTTTTTTGAGCTTCTGTGGCAACAAATGACTGTTAAAAGCTACTGGAGTGTTAAAATTATGTTCTTTCTACACCACAGGTGAAAAATATGGAGTAAAATCAGTAAAGTACTGCAGTCAGAGGAGCTGTGTAAACTAAAACTTATCTGATTCCTGAGCAGAATGCAGTTTAGAAGGTGGCTCTTTTTATCAGCAAATATTTGCACTGAAGTCCTGACCGTGTTGGGCTGTAACAGTGGGTTCTGCACCTCTACCTCCAGCCCTGGGTTGGGATCAGTGCGGACTTTGCCTACCAGTCTGAGAAGCAGTAAAACCAGAAGCAGTTTAGGGTCATAAATCATTCAGGTTTGACTAAATGATTTGCTGTAACTGTGCAGTAATGTGGTGCAATTACTGTTAGTACATTTTCATGAAAATGTAGGCTCTTAATTATGTTAAACATCCGTCATTCATCCCATTTACGGGGAAAAAAGGTTTCTGGGAAAGATCTGCACGGCATGCATATCCCCACCGGAGCGTCTACTGAGATCAGGCACTGAGCTGGCTACTCTAAAGATCAGAGAACGAGTACGACCCACATGCTGAAAGAGAAGAACTAAGAAATTAAACATGTGTCTGAGGTCTGTGCACAAAGCACTGGCATCGGACACCTGAAGGCAGGTTACTGGGGTTGGTTTGTTATATACCATTAGCAAAGGTTTCTGTACTTGCTTCACACCATATAAACACTGTCCTAAGCTCGAGTAACGTTTTTTCAAGAAGTACATGAAGCACAATAGCTACTAGGCAGATACACATTTTTATCCTTTGTGAAAGGGCCTCTGAGATTACAGAACAAAAGCGGTTACCTGTTATAATATCTTCAATAGCACCATCCTTCCCTTCGTATACATGTCTGTTATCCTTGACTTGCCGCCGCCTGAGCTCTGCAATCAGCTCTTGCTGCTGTCTCTTTGTTTTATGTGAAGGAGACTGAAAGAAGAGAGGATTTGTAAGAACTGACCTCCAGCTATCCCGTTTCTCTTTTCCTGAATGTGAAACACCAGGTGATTGCACTGGTAGCAACAGCAGCTGCCAGTTTTCTGCCCAATTTTGCAAGACTGGGAAAACATGGCAGTCAGCTTACATCCCATGAGGACGGACAGTCACAAGTTAACCTGATTGCCAAGCTTCTTACATTTGTAGCCTATTTCCAAGCCTTCTCAGCACCTGGAACTGGAGCTTCAAGCTCTCACCCCTGAAAAGCATTAGGGGAATAAGGAGAACAAGCTTTCCTTCTGAGGGAAAAAACTTGGCTGGAATTAAAGATCCCAACAGCTGCTGGAACAGCATCAGCTGACAAAGTGGCTGGTTTAGAGCCATGGGAAACGCCAGCAAATCTGAAACGTTACCTAAAAAAAAAAAGTCAGGAAAATAGCTATAAAACAGTAACGTGGAGCTCAGTCCTGCCACCAACCTCTGGCAGGATAGGACTGGGGAGGACTGAAGATTGTTCCCTGTCCCAGTAAGTGATGGGAGGCTCTGCACACTGAACACCAGGAGGATTTTAACAGATACAAAGCCAGACAAGAATGAAGTTTAGCTAATGGCAATGTGGACAGGATGACTTTCTGTCTATTCAGTTTTTCTTAATTTTGCAGACTTCAAAAGTAGCAGAACCATACATCATAACTCCTTCAGCTTATTTCAGTTCTCTCCATGTAAGAAGAAAACATGCAGAGACCCTATTTCTAGGGAACTGCAAGTTAGGCAACCGAATTTCTTACACAGAGCTGAGGTTTCTGAACTTTCTGGAAAAACATATAAGGAATGGCTCCTGCCAGTTAAGATGTACCTGTTTCTTACCTTTTGGTCCTGTTGCTCCATCAATGCTTCCTGCTCCATAAGTTTTTCCATTAAGGCCTGTTCCTGCTTTTTTCTCAATTCATTTTCTTCTTCTGCTTGCTATTTATCACAAAAAAACAGAGGTTATAGCTTTCAATTGCTACAGGGAACCTAAAAATTACAAATTAGTAACACTATCACTTGGAAAGGAAGGGCTTTCCAAGGAAGAAAGATCAGGAGCAGCAATTTAGCTGCCTCTCAACACAGTCTGAAAACACTGGGCTGGGAGAGACCTTCCTAGTTTGCACAAACCATCCTCCCCCAGCCTCAAAAGACACGTGTTCAGTGCTAAACGGGTAAGCTGCAGCCACTCAGACATTCTGAGGATTCCTCCAGTATCTCAAACAGCCATGTTGTCTTTCAGCCCTGAAAATAATCCCCAAACAACTATTTGTACTGCCTCAGGCTGTTGCCGTGCTGTCAGGGATAGCTTACATTGCATCAAAGCTAGAGGGAGCTATAAGCTTTTTTGCTGGGAGGCCGGTGCAGGTACCAAATTGCGTTTGGAGGGACAGAAGAGGAGGATGCTCCTGTTTACCTTGTAGGCCTTCACAAACCGGACAAACACTGGGAAAAAGACCGAGGGGGGTGTCGTCTTGGGATTCTCCCCGAAGTACTTCACAGCATCATCAAAGGCATCCTACAAAAAGCAAAGATCTACTGCATAGCATGTATTTTCAAATAAACCCACAATCCATTACTGCAGTATTCAGCATAAGGGGTCTAGATTTCATCTGCATATGAAACCCCTGGCTCAGGCCAGCACATCTACATCTAGCACTTGATTCATCTACATCTAGCACAAGCCATTCTATGATTCTAACACTGTTGTACCTTCTCATCCCTGCTGCATATGTAAAACACATCCTTTGCAGTGACATGCTACTACTGTGTCACTCACACCCTCTCTTCAACCCCTGAGAATAAACAAGTACCTGGGCTATTTTGGCATCATCCTGCAGTTTCTTTAGCTTCCCTTCATTGTTCTGAATGAACTCCTTCAGCATCGTGTTGTGGTCATGCATGGTGTACTCGCGCTTTGTCAGATCCAGGCCCCTCTGCAACTCCTTCACATCCAAGAGGACGTTTTCAAGAGACACTGGGAAATGAAACAAAAATGCTGCATCACTCCTGCTGTGCAAGTGCCTGACGCTACAGCTTGAGCAATTCCCCACCAAGAAGAGCCCCCACAGTCCACACATGGTGTGCTGTGAAGTCCCTTGCATGGCACGCATGCCACCACCGCTCACCAGGGACAGGAGGGTCACAGTACCTGCAGCAGCCTTCTCCACATAATGAAGTTCATTGTAAAAGAGGGATACATGCTGGTACTTCTCCTTGACCACATTAGAAATATAGTGCAGCAGAGTCTGCTTTCGGTCTGTTGACTTTGTTTCTAGGAGCTGGGGAGAAAAGGCAAAGAGATTGCTGGGTGGAGGCACAGAAGGCTCCAAGCAAAGTGACTCAGCCAGAGCTTCTCCATCTGACAGGCAGGGCTGTAAAAGTTCATGTAACTGTTTAGGAGGTGGTTTTCAAGCTCTGGTCTACAGAGCCTCTGAAGACATGTGCCTTCTCCTAAGCAGCCCCCCAAAACAACAATAAGCAAAGCAAACTTACACCCCCTGGCAGAGAGTGCCTTGCCTGCTGCCACGCTCTGCCTTCACCATGTCCCCACAGAAGCCACTCACCATGTATATGAAATGTGTTCGACCTGGTGCCCAAAAGGCACCTCTGGTTTACTTACCAGGTCTAAACTCTGTAGCTTAAACCCATACACAGCTCCTCGTTTACTGCTATTCATGTAGTTTCCAAGAGCCAAGATTATCTGCCAAGATGAAACAGAACAGAGGATGAATTTTCAGGACAAATGCATGGTGCTTTAGAAACCTCTGCAAGGAGAGCTGGTACATCAGCATCCATGTGCTGTTTCAGTACATGGGGACACACCAGTGAGTGACGGAGCCATTGAACATATCTAAAATCACACCTACCTCCAGTATTTTCTTAAGCTTTTGGGATGACTTTATGGAGACAGATGCAGCTATTATTGCATGAAGTTGCTGCAGGTAAAGACAGGAAGTGCTTTGGTTAATGCACGTTCAACCCAGGAGTAAAATTAAAATTTAAAAATCCCTGAAAAACCCTCTTGTTTGTCATGCATCTCGTGGGCCCTAGAATGATTGTTATCCTGCCCTGACACATCAGGATTTCCAACAATTCATTTGCACCACAGATTTACCACACTCAGATGTGGTTGGGTGAAACCATATTTACGTTTCAATCCTTACGACTGTGGAAAATGCATCAGGCCGAGTGGTACACACTTCAAAGAGCCCACGGAACAGCACTGATGATAACTTTCCCTAAAGGACCAGGTTGTAAACTGCCATACAAACAGCCCCTGGGATACTAGTCACTGCTTCATGAAAATATAGATAGAAAACCATGTTTTCATTCGTGTGTTTCTCATTCCGTTCCTTTCAGAACTTGTAACTGCCCCACAACACTCAAACAATCTCCCTGTCTTAGAAAAATCAAAATCTCAGTAATCTTCACTGACCACCCACACCCCGTAAAACTCCCCACAAGCTGACCCCGTGCCGCACAGCACAGCTTTTAGGCGGAGGCTGAACCCCATGCATGGCCCCGGCGTCCCCAAGGGTTGCCCCTCACTCACCGGGGTCAGCATCTGGATGCTTTCTGCAAAGTTGCCTATAAACGCCATGATGGTCATCTTCTGCATCAGCCTCTCGATCTTGCTGAACTGCATCATGAACCGGTCTTCGTCGGACAGGTTCTCGATGGGTTTCCTTTCCCGCTCATAGAGCCGCAGCACTTTCACTTCGTTCTCGGTGGGCAGGAACCGCATGAGGCATTCAACAAAATCCACCGGCAATGTTTTCAGGTCAAACCTGTGTGATAACAAACCAGAAAAAGTGGTGTTTGGACAAAACTCTACACAAAATGATGGAAAAATAAAAGAAGAGAGAAATCTGCCAAAGGCAGCTCTGCCTCCTACACTGCTAAGCTACACATTAGCCCGAGCCAGTAAAGCAATGAGAAACTATGAAGAAGCTGTGAAGTGACCCCTGCTCTTGTTGCCCTGGCTGGGTTTGGGGGCATGGTCCTGCATGTGAAGCTCTCTGCACATGAAGATGTGAATAAGGTCACTGTGCTGATGTGAATGGTGCTGCTGGGCACCCTGTTTCTGTTTCCAAAGAATTTTCATCAGAGAAGATAGACAGGGAGGAGCAAACAGTAGTTTTATTTAATTGGGCCAGAGCCCTGTAAACCCGAACTGCCGAACTTGCGTCAATCTGCAGCAGGTTTGGGTCACCCTCCTCAACAGCCCAAAGGTAATAATTGTGCATCCAAACTTTGAAGACATTCCTTACTGGAGAAATGGCAGATGTTTGTCATGGCCACGACTACTAAATGCTTCTGGATAGATTCAGGATCAGCCCCAAGGAGCAGGTACACCTGTGCTCCATCCCTGGGACCTGCTGGAGTCAGCAGGCAACAGTCCGTACCAGCATGGGATGGGACACACCTGCATCACATTGGGGTTTGGCACTGCCTGGGGCCATTACACAAAACTAATTCTATGCAAAACCTTCCAGTGCACTTGGACTAAACTCGTGCTTCACAGAGCAAAACTAAAATAATTGCCTCTTCCTGATACTCTGGCTTTTGAGTGTTCACTGTAACAGAAAGTACTGTGCAAATGGAACGAGAGATGCAGTATGCAATGGCATACTCTAGATATACATGAACTAGCTTCTTTAATAAAAGAAGTGTTAATTTGATAAGCCTCAATAGTGATACAGTGACACAAAGGTGCAAGTTTTTAATTTTAGCTCAAGGAAATCTGATTTCTGGGAATTCAGAATGGTTCCATCCTTACTCCTGGATTTTCTCCAGATGCAAAAACATTTATATCAACTGCCAGTTCAAAACCATTCCACTTACCAAAATCACAGTAAATCTTGAATATGATTTCTTTGCTGACAAGTGTTTTACTTACACGTGAATAGCTTTGCATATTTCATCTGCTGTCTTTCCAGCTTTTCTTAAAGTAATAGCAAGATTTTTCGCCCTGTTGGCATCCAGTAATGTGACTTTGTTTGACCCTTTCTGAGTTATCTTTTGCTTGCTTGAAGTAAGATCAATGGCTGGACCTTGGGCTTTTGTTTTAAATATTTCTTCAAATTCATCCACATTTAAATCCTAAAAAGGAAAGAAAATGATTTATCCCTCCTGCAGTGAACACTAAAACCCATGCTGCCTAATACTGTGCCAGAACTACAATAAAAACCTTGTGGTGGCTGAGACTATAACAGAGTACTTCAATCAGAGGCTGCAGATGTAACCACCATGCGTTCCTGAGTTAGTGATCAGGAAATCTGGCCTCCACCCCCAACAACCCTATACACGTTCAAAAGTTCAGGAAAACACTCATGTTAGCACTCGTGCTTTACCCAGCCACATGGATCTTCAGGGCACAGGGAGCATGCAAGACCTGCGTGCTCAGCTCTGCTCTGTGCTGCTTTAGGCTTCATTCCCTGGCATGCAGCCACCACCCAAGCCTAACTCCTACAGACTGATCAGCAATTTTAGGCTGGGAAAAAATAAATCATTCTCATCTTGGATCATCTGTTTTAAAGAAATGCACACAACAGGTATGCAACCTTTACTATCAATATTACCAGCTACCATCCCTAATTCTCAACCAAGGCACTCACACTGACCTACTAGGCACCGGGGCCACTGGATGAGCCATCTGCCAACACAATTGCTGCAATGACCGATATTCACTTGTGTTATGGACAGAAGTGGGAGCAGAAGGCAGCAAGCAGCAATCATACCTCCAGGATCCTTTCGTCATCTATTTCATTGAAGACCGTCCCATTGATCTGGTTGGGTTTGAGGGCAACCCAGTTGAACACCGGCATGCGGAATTTGGTCTTGATCGGCTTCTTGATTTTCACAGCTAAAGATACCAGAGGAGAGGAAATGACAAATTCCCCCAGTAAAAACACCCCACATGCCATGACTGCAGCTTTTGAGTCGGCACTTCAGCACTGGAGAAAGAACTGGCCAGAGCTAAATTATCACACTGGAAAACCTGAAAGGATCTTGCTGCCTGGACAGGAAAACGGTGCCAAAAGGCTTTCACCCAGCCCCTCATCTCCTTCAGCCCCAGCCTCTGCAGAACGGGACTAAACGCCAGAGACTGTGACAACTTCACTAAAGGAAATGTGTTATTAGTTTATTACCGCATGATGCTGGATTGATTTAACAGCCTGAGTTATTTTTAAACACTACAGAAAATGAAAAGAGTGGTCCCATTTAACCCCATCCTGCTCATTGCAGAGCCCGCCCCCATGTGAACTGATGCACAGCCATGCACTGCTGATCTGTGACCTCTGTCACAAAACTCAATGCAGAATAGGTGTCAAGAAGGAAAAATAGCCCCTTTCCCAAGGTTTTGGCACAGGGAATGGCCCCTCACGCTGCCTGCTGGAATAGGGCAGTGCTGCTTTTCACCAGGTTTGTCTTTTAAAGCAAAAACAGGTAGACTGCAGCACACATGAGCTTTAACACAGTTGAAATAACTGGTTTAGTAATCTTCCTGTGCTGTGCAGAACCAGTAAACTATTTAGTAACATACACAGAGAAGCTACGAAAATGAAAACTGACTACTCATTAATCTGTGCAAGAGTACGGAAAAGTGATGTTGGAGCAAAGAAAACAACACTTTTCTATTTCTATTGCAAACAGGTCTGGAAGGCAGATGAATAAATTCTGTAACAGTTCTCATTTTTTTGTATCTTGATGTAAACATGAAGTTGCTAGTTGCTACAAAACCAGGTTGTTCATTAAAGTCATCAATCAACGTTTTGCTCCTGAATTACTTAGAAAATAAAACTGTTTCTTTCCAAGCTGCAAACATGAAACAGAAACCCTGGTCCTTCCTCTCCAGTGCTGGAAAAAAAGAGCCATTTGACCATTTGGTTGGTGGCAGAGGGGAGGCAGGGGTACTCCCGCCAGGGATGCCCAGCCCCGCAGCATGCCCGAGCAGGTTCACCGCTACCCTCAGCTGAGGATGGATCATGTCTGGTTTAGTGCAGTCCAGTGTTTGCTCCTGACTCCTGCCTACCCTGCACTTCTAGCAGGAGTGATCCTGCCAAGTATTCCATGCTCTGCAGGGTTGCTAGATTTTTACCCCTCCATTTCAGAAGATGCCAGGTTCCCAGGTTGCAAAGCACTTAAGCATGTAATTATTTTACTTTATCATAATGATTCCGTGTGTATGTTTTCGCCAGGACAGAGAAGATCTAAGTCAGGGCACAGTTCCGTTGTGCACTGGAATTGGGTGAATGCTGAAAACATTTCTCTTGCTTTGTCATCAACAAGAATCAAGTTGTGTGTCCATGACCCTTTCATGCTCGTGCTCATTTTGCAGGGACATCACAAAGAATAAGTTACTGGCAAGAGTATTTGCTTGAAAAAGAACCATAAGTGAACAACAGGAAATATACACAATATTCAGCTGTGTATTCTGGGAATTATATTTATCCAACTGGAAGACGCAAACACACGTGATCAACTTTTGCTCATCTAAACTAAACAGAATTTTACTTTTGTTTAATTAACGTGATTACTTCAAAATAATCCCTAAAATAAAAAGAAATCGCTTTTTCCATCTGAAGCACCCATTGAAAAAAACAAACCAAACAACATTTCCACTTGCGCATACATTAGAATAGATTATTAACTGCTCCTGGGTTATTTCAGGACTGGAAAGGAAGCTATCTGCCTCATGGGCCAGTTCCTGATATAGCTAATCAAAATCACTTAAAATTTCCCTTCCTCCTGCATTACAGAGCCCTGGCAAGATGATATTCCCAGTAATCATGCTGCTGCCAGCATCGCAGTGGGGATGCGGTCACACTGGGGACCAGGCCCCGCAGAGGGTACTCACCGCTGGCAAGAGTTACTGCAGCTTCACACTTGGCCTCTCTGGGAAAAGCCCATCCCTGGTGTGACCAGTGCAGAGAGCACAGCTTGAGGCTGGCTCAAAAGAAACCACGTCTTAATCACTTGCTGAAGTGCTTTGCTGAATCAGGGTCTCCTGGGTGCCAAATCCTGATGGTTGGCAGCATCCCCAAAGCTAACACATGCTCTGGCTCTGGCTCCAGCCAGCAAACCCCTGCACCAGTCTTCCCCCGCCCTCCACATCATAGGACACAAGTCCACACACACACACACACACACACGGGCACAGCACAGAGGGAAACGCGGAGAGGTAGGTAAATACTTAGCAGAAAGCAACCTACAGAAGAGCTTGATTGGCCCGTCTTACCAGGAAGCAGAAAGAACAGAGAAAAAAATGTTAGCAATGGTCAGAAAAGCAAATTTGTTCTTTCATTGACTCCCTCTGACCCAGACAAAGTTCCTGCCCTGGTTTCTGCCAATGCTCCTTTCTGTGCAGCCATTGGACCAAGACAAGGCACTTTCTGTAAAAACCTAACCCACTGAAGAACAAAACACCCATCCCACCTGGCTTTGGGCATCTCACTCAACCACCTAAGTGAGAAGCTCTTGCTTCAGGGCTTGCCGCTTGCTGCTGGTGCAGCTCACAGGAGCCATGTGCAGAAGCAGGGTTTGCCCCACTGCTCCCAACCCCAACTAATGCCACAAGGATGTGGGGCTAAAGCTTGGTGTCTGGGCACCTGGTGGCACAAACCCTGCTGTTTGCAGCAGCTCCCGTGCCCCTGGCAGCCCTGCTCCAGCGCCCCACCACTGTGCACCCCTGCCACTGTGCACCACATGCCAAACGACCACTGCCTGCTTTGCCAAACCCACCAGGGAGGATTAGCCTATAACCTCAGCTGTGTTGCACCTTCTGTGCTTTTTCTTTTCTGTAATATGCTCTGGGACCCTTGAATTCCATGATGCTTTTCGCTTTCAGAGGAAACTTTAAAGGCTGGAATACTTAATCAGTTTAAAAATTAAAAAAAAACCCTATTAATCAGAGCTCCTCGGTCTCTCTTTCTGGGCTCATAATGTGCTCTTGAGACCTCCTGGGGAGGGGGAGCGGTGTGTTGCCAGTTAGCGTTCACTTGCTGCCCAAGATGTTTGGCATATGTCAGAGTGCATAAAAACAGGATTGAAGATGGTCAAGTAAATTCTTTCTTCCTTCCAAACAATTACCATTTGTTTGCACAGATATTTCTTCACAAAATTCTCTGAAGAAATCAAAACCATGAAGCTTTGTGTTTCTTTCAAAACCATATTTTGTTTGCTTAAAGCCAAAAATGATCACGTTTGAAAAATATTTTTGGCAATAGCTTTAGTTTCACTGAAGAAGGCATCTCTTCCAGACTAAACCAAAACTGTTTGCTTGACAAATGCTCTTTCCTTTTATAAATCTTTCCTGCTGTAATACCAGTAAGAGATAACGGGTGACTAAATCCCACCCTGTCCGCTCTAGCTGATGTGCCCTGACCTTGCCTTTGCTTGCTTTGCCAGTGACCTGCAGCACACCAGGGAGATGGATGGGTGTTTTACCTGCAAGCCCTGAGTTGAACACCACGGTGGGAGAGGCTGTACCGGGCAGGGGGGGTGCTGATGGTGGGGGTGGTGGAGGCAGCGGAGCTGCAGGAGCTGTCTCCAAAGCTGGACCTGGGAGAGGAGGCGGTGGTGGTGGTGGTGGAGGCGGTGGTGGAGGCGGTGGAGGTGGCATCGGCGCTGACACAGGACCGTTTTGCACTATGAGATCAAGGAAAAATTACGTATTTCCATGAACATAGATTGAAATAGTACAAACACGCTCAGAAAAAGTCACAACATCCACCTTATACCAAGCTATACATCTCTCCACCACCAGACTGGCCCAAGCATTAGTGCAACTTCCCCAAAGTACTTCAGTGCATCAACATGGGAGGAAACTACCCTAATGAAAGAAACCAGTATTTTTTAACATTGTCTGAAGGGCTCAAAAATGGATCAGACAAACATGGGAGCCACCTGGAGACTGAGAGTACAAACAGAGCTGGAGACCTCAGCATCCTCAGTTGCTGCAAGGTGCCATGACCTGCAGGCTCATTACAACTGAAGGTGGTTTTATTAGCGTAAGGCTGCTGTGACTGTCCCCAGCACAACAAACTCCACCTTCGGCTCCCAACCAGCCCATGTCTCAGGGACCAAATGCTTCTTACCTGCCTCAGATGCTGCTGCTAAGGTGGGTAATGGTGGTGGAGGTGGTGGCAATGGTACTGAAGATGCAGCTCCAGCAATTGGTGCAACACATGTTCCAGACCCAGCCTCTGACCCTGCCGGCACCATCCCAGAGGCCAGAGCAACAGGAAGGATAGAGATGTCACCATCACCTTTCTTCTGGATTTTAATGGTTCCCTGCTTCTCCAGTTCATGGATCTTTTTCTCCAGTGTTGACTGTCGCTGGATGGCTTCTTCTTTTTCTTTCACCATTTTTCTCAAGGTGTGAACCTGGGTATTTGCATCTTTGTAGATTTCCTGATAATATCACAGAAACAAGGAACTTGCACTTGTATTCACAGAACAGATTACCAATGTCAGAAACAGAAGAATAGCCTGACACTGGATGGTCACTGCACCAGGCTCTATCTAACACTGAGCTCTGATGCAAAGCATGTCTTCACTGGTGAGGAAAAATTCATTTTGTGTTTTCCCAAGGTAGCAGCAAGGCTGTGTACAATACTGGGTCCTGGGAGAAATCTCACCCGTGGGCACCAACACCTGGGGGTACAGAACTTCTCACCATTGCTTTTTCATGATGTCTCTCATTTCTTATGCTAGTCTTGAATATGTAGTGTAGGTACGCAACCTCAGTTTTGACTTCAGCAGATTATCTGCCACCTTGCTAGTTGTTCTACGTATAAGCAGATGTTGGCCCATAAAGGGAAGCAGGAACAGAGCTCCTGATCTAGAGAGGAGATTGTGCCTGCATAAACCCAGGGCAGACCCTCCGAAGGAATCCTAGAAGCAGCCACCTTTTCGGACGACATTTAGGGTGAAGTTAGTTAATATTACATCAGTATTTTTGTTACTAAGTTTGTACACTGAGAAGTAATGAGTCTGGATTGTGCACAGAAAGCTGGCTGTGCTTCACCGCACAGGCACAGGGCACTCACTCCTGTCCTGCAGCTGTGCAACCCAAGGACTTCAGGTCCACCTCGAATGCGCCTCCACAGCCAACCACATGCGCAAAGCTCCAAATAGCAATGCTACAGACCACAGCGGTAAGATGTACCACATACACTGATGTGCTGGCACGTTCGAAGAGCTTTATGTCCATCTTTGAGTGCATGCTGAAGTAGCTCTACTTGAAATCTGTCCTAGGTTCAGAATTAGGAAGCTACCAGGAGTCACTTGTCCCAGAGTTGTTACCTCCCATACACCAAGTGCACAGGAGATTGCTCCCCTGAAGCATGGCATCCAGCCACAGCTCTCCCATCGCACTTACCCGAATCACATCCAGTTCTTTGTTTCTTTGCATAAGCTGTTTTTCCAGTTCCACAATCTTTGCCATGGCTTCATTCTCCGTATCTTGGAGTTTTTCTGATAACTATCATTCAAAAAGAGAAATAGATTATATAAGAGGGTAACAGTAGTTTTAGCAACCAAAATGTCAGGAAAACTTGGAGCAGTGGTACATGGTAAATTATTGATCTTCCACCAAATCCTGTCTTTCTTCAGAAAGAGATAGGGTTCCTGCATGTAACCAGAGGGCACTGAGTGCCCTGCTGAAGATTACTCTGATGAAGAACCCTATCCTTCCACTGTGACCAGCAGGTAACCTGGCTGGAATGTAGCTATGAACCTGTCCAGGTCAAGAAAGCCTACTCTACAATAAAGCACTTAAAATGCAATTATTTTCATACACACAAAGTCTGATCTGAAACCCCAAAACCGCACAGAATACCACAATGGCACTGTTGCAAACCAAATAGATGCTGAAATGGTGGAATGTATAAATATCACCTCTTGCAAGGAGGCTAATTTGATTATTTATGAACGAAAGAGTTTATTTTCTTTTTTCCTTTCACTGTCTTCTAATTCATTTTTATTTTTTGCCAGCCCCACAACCCTCAGGTCTAAAAGCCTCACAGCTCTTTCTGGCTTTTTCCATCACCACCAATCACGCTGCCTCAGGCAAGGCTGCAGCAGTGAGGTGGCACTGGTTGCTGTGTTTTTGAAATAAAACTTCCGTAATTCTATTACTTGTATTTCTGTTAAAACATGACAGAAAATGATGTCCACGCTCCTGGGATGAGTCTAGTTTATGTAAACAGACCAGAAACAAGCCCTTAAAAATTTGCCACCAGAGTAAGCCATTAAGTTTCTAAAGAGCTAGAAGGAGATCTATGAAGCAAACAGTGCCATTTCTACTGAATTACTTGTCTCTAGCAGAAAGGCACCTCAGAGGGGCAAATGCTGCACAGCAAGTTGTTTTAAGAATATATTTATTCTAAGTGATAGCAATATAGGAATTGTAAGAGAATGATGACCCTTATATGATTTTTTAACTTATGGAAAAATGTTCTGATTTTAAAAAAGCCAAGATGTCTTTTCTGGGCTACAGTAATTGACAATACAAAGGTACAGGACAGAAAAGCCATGAGCAAACAATGAATTGAGCAAGCACTGGGTATCTCTTTTTCAGTCCCTTCTCTCTTAAGCCCAGTAATGTGTTTTAAGACACTGACGGGGTGGTTATCTGCTCTATTTACCAGTACGGCATTGCTGACGAATTTGCAATTTCTATGTAAATTAGCTTTCCCAGCTTATGAGACAACCTTGCGCAGAGGCTCCATGCACCAAATGACTCCACCTAGAACTGCAACCAAACTGAAGCTGAAGCCTCTGAAGCTGCAAACCTGCCGCACCAGGGCCCGGGGGGACCTCTGCTCAACTGGCCCCCAGGCACAAATGGTCATCCCCTCCCAGCTCACAGCAGCTTTTGAGGATAAACTGGCTGATGCTACTGAGGTGTGCGAGCACTGCAGCTTTGTCCACCTAAGCAGTGAGACAGGCAGACACTGAGCAGCACAGGCCAAACTGTCCCTCGATGTACACAGAACACCGTGTCAAGCCCCACATTAACAAGGCAATGCTACCGCTTTGTAAGAAGCATCACATAGGAGAGTAAATAGAACGACAGAATAAGACATTTTCTCATCAGGTCAACAAACAGCTTGGGAACAAATCTTTGTAGCAAGTGGGGCACCCAGAAAACTAAACACACAGAATATGAGGTTCAAAATACAGCATGAAAGCAGCCAGGAAGTCTACCTGCACAAGATCTCCCAGGTTCCTTCATTTGCCAAATACCTGATTATTCCCCCAGTGCAGCAGCATAGTAGTCCTAAGGTTTTTTCTAAGTGAATCTCACCCCAAAGGTTGTAGCCCTGCTGTGTCTGTGCTTCCACCTCCCAAAATGGGCCATAGCAAAGCCCATGTGCAGAGCGAGCTCTGAACTACTTCAGAGGCAAAGGTGACAAAGTGTGGTACTAACATGGGAAATGTTTTCTTCCAGTTCTTCAACTCTTTCCAGGGCTGCATTCTTGGTTTCAGCATCCTCCAGTAAAGCTCCTACATCAAAAACGTTATCCAGGTAAGCTTGAATTTGCACCTGCAGTTTGTCACTCTCCGTGTGTTTCAATTTCTGAAAATCCAAGAAGACAAGCGTGTCACTCAGCACTGGCAGCCCTTCGCAGCAAGAACAATGCAGACAGCAAACAGGGTGGGGAGAGCAGTGGGAGCTCAGGCCACTTCCATCACTTCCATCAGGCCACTTCACTAATCTAATGTTATCTGGGGTCATAAATAATAAAGTCATTTTTTTAAGACCAAAAATCCAGACCTTTCAAATAAAGCTAAGCAGCATCTTCTCTTCTGTTACTACAGAGGATATTACTGCTTTCCTCTGTGCTTGCTCCTTGACTGTAGCAAGCTCTGAATGCCACGTCCCAGCTCTGGGACAGTGCGAGGCCAGGGAGGCGTGCCTTCCTGCTGCCCATGGTCACCAGCTCAGTGGCCAGTAGGCAGAGGTGAGGCCTGTGTTTGGGTTCAAAGCAGCCACGTGGCCTGGAGCAAATCCTCCAATTGCTCTTGCTGACCTTGCGTTGGGGTTTGCTGTGTTCAAAATGATCATGCTTTACCTCCAAAGATAACACCAGAGCATGTTTTGAAAGGCTCTGCCTGCTCCCAGTGGACTGCAAGGTTTCTGCCATCCTGGGACCCCAAACAGACCTGTGCTCAATATCACCATGTACAAATTACTTCTTGCAGACAGCAGAAAACCTCTCTCCTGGTTACTGCTGAGCAGAAGTCAGGAGGGACAAATCAATCCCTTGTCAACACGAGTACTGTGTTCATGTGTACTCCCAAAGGCAGGAACAGAGAGAGAAAGAAAAATACAAGAACAGGAAATATAAAAGCAGCTTTCTTCTGAAAAAGAGCATTTCCCTGAGGACATCAGAAAACACCTGACTGTCAGGAGAAAACTCAAAGGAGGATTTTTTCATGCAGAGATGGAGGGGGCCCTGGCAGTACCTGAGCTGGGGTCAACACGAGGCCTATAGCCCACAGCTGGAGGTCAGGGACGTGGCACGGGCAAGGACGACTGTGGTTCATCCTCTCTTTGTCATAAGGCAAAGCTAAAAATTTAGCTCCCAGTCTGTAATTGCAGTTAGTTGCAGCTGATTTTTCTTCTGCAGGGATGGCTCCAGGCCACAGCCTCCAGTCAGCAGCCAAGGCACGGCATTTTTAGTAAAGACTATGGGATAACCCTGCTCTGCCCTCCCAAAAGCTCTCAGTTGAGGGTTTTAAGGAGGTTTAAGCCTAGGCTAAGCAATGGCAGAGCTGGGTGATGTGGTGTGGACCCACCATGGCTGCAGGTGGGCCCAGCTCACATGTGCCCAGCCTTGGAGAACAGATCCTTGCTGCAAGGCAATGGAGGCCCAGATCATACTCACGTCTAAGTACTCATCCAGGCCAAGCTTCGTAAATTCGTACTGCAGGTGAACTCTGAAGTTCATGTCCTCTACTGAGTGGACAACAATGTTGATGAACTGCATGCAGGCCACCTGTAAGGAAAAACACTGCACATGAGAGGAGGCATCAGAGAGTCAGACAAAACGAATGACCACATTTCCTTGCAGTTATTATGAGGGGAAACTGTGATCTGCTATTCCGCAGGTCTTTTCCAAGTTGGTGCTGGACTTGGGCTTACAGAGTGTTCATCTGCTGAGATAAAAGGAAACATGGGTTCCAGAAATTAAGTCATGTCTGCAGTCTACCTTTACTGCGTGCTGGTGAACAGAAATGCTTTCCATGCCAGCTTGCATGGCCAGACATTGTACAAGCACACAAGCTCTTAAGAAAATAATGCCATTTCTACAAAGGCCTGTAAAAGTGAGATTAATTTTGCAACTGGAATCCCTAGCTTAGGAAACAGGACTTTCACAAAAGGCACTCTGTTGTTTGCAAAAAGCGTATTTCCAAAGCTGTGGTTTGGTAACTGAACCAGATCATAGGAACTGGCATCCAAACACGTCTCAACACAGTGAAGGAAAGGCAAAGGGTGAAGCAGGTCGCCAGCAGTATGAGCAGTGAGGGAAACCTCCTGCAGAGCAGCAAAAGGTTTGCCCTTTACTTGAATGTAAGGCACAGCCAAATCCTGCTCTGCCCAAATTTCCCCAGCCCTCTTTCAGCTCACAGATCATCATGTCTATCACCCTCTGAGCTGCTTTAAGAGAAGGTTTGCCTGGTCCTTCCTGGGCTTCTCAAGGGCATAACCCTATCCTGCTAACAACACTGCAACAGGTGTAGTAACCAGCTTTTCAACATCTACTGAGATACTTCCCAGATTTCCAGAATGAACCTGAGAAGATAAAATAGAAGCAACCTGATTTTACCTGCAGGAAAAGTCTCCACGAGACCCCACATCTCTGGGTCATTTTGTGGGAAGAATGAACTGAAGGCCACTTGCTGCATCATCAGTTTGAGACAGGAAATTGGCCAATTTTCTGTGATCTGGATAAACTCATGGGCAGGCATCTGAGGGCCTTTGACTACAGGTCTGGACAGGATGCCTTGAGCTGCTCCTTCCAGCCAGAGGTCCCAGCAGCCGTTGAGCTGCCATAGAAACTTTCCCAGCCAAACAGCCCAGTACCACCCAGCTTTGGAGGAACTGCGACCCGAAACAGGTCAGTCAAAATCTTTCAGCTACATCTTCCCATGTAGAACTGACCAGCTTTAACCACTCTGTTTCCAAAAGGACTTCAACCCTAGATAATGCAAAGCTATGAGGCTCATAACACAGATAACCCCAAGGAAGAGAGGAAGGAAGATGGTCTCGAGACTCACCACAGAACCCCTGTGATATCTCACCCCCACCTCTCAGTGTGTATGCATCTGTTACATGAACAACCTGATCCATGCAGTTGGAAACCTATCTCCAGGTTTTGAGTCTTTGCGGGGCCCTTTCCAGTTCCTATGGTGAACCCTGTTTCCCCCCAGTGCTGGTCCTAGCCTTCACCAGCTGAACCCTGCTCTCCTGTCATATCACCCAGAGCCAAATTCCCGTATTTGAAAAGTGCTTTTGTTATACGTGCTTTGGCTTTCACAATGTTAGGGCCAAATTCTCATTTCCTTTCTCAGATCCTTACATACACAACTAAGGAATTTATCAAGTCAAAGAAAACTAATCTAAGAAAGTTGCTTTTAAAATGAAGTAAGTCAATGTCAACAACAGGAACCTTCTCTAAAGTACTTCTGCCTTTTTGTTGCTCTTCCCTCCCTCTTGATCCATGCAATTAGACGCAGCCCCTTCCAGCTCCAGCTTCCCAGACAGCTCTTCCCTTCTCCATTTAGGACAGCATGAAAGCCAGGTCCTGAGGGGACAGCTCTTTGTTTACGTTCAGTCGTTGCAACTCCTTGAATGCTTGAGTTTTAACTTAACATCCTGGAGCCTGGGCTCTGGCACCCATTTTATCCTGACCTGTGCAAAGGAGCAATGTCTGCCCTGGGCACAGCTGGTGTGACCCACAGGCTCCCGCAGCACCAGGGCCCGCAGTGCCTCCCGTGTGCCCTGCTGGCTAGCGCTCACCAAGCACAGCATGTGGAGCTCGTTAGGGCCAGATGGTGACAAGAAAGAGAGGATCTGCCAAATCGCTTGTCATGAGCACTCTCTTCTAGCTTTAGACTTGTCAGAGAGTCAATGCCATAGCTGGAGGAAGCAGCCCAAAGATGCAGACTTTATTAGTATCTGGACAAGACCTATCTTCAACCTATGGTCTGAGAGAACCAGGCAACTTTCTTACATGCCATCTGGGTGTTGACTATTCACAGGCTTGTACAGACACACACTCACATGCATTATAATCTCACATGCAATGTAATATTCCCTATTATATCCTTACAGTGTTCTAATTAATATCTTAAATAACAATGAGGGATTATTTTATTTTTAAACTAGCTCGCAGCAAGGTGGCTGGCTGCAGGCTGCTGCCACCTTCTTGCTTCCAGGCTGATCCAAGCTGTGCTATTCTCCCACTCCCCAAATACAATTACCCCTCCCTGTGAGCACGGGAAAAAATGACTAAGAGTGGATGTTGAGGACTGACAAATCTTTCTGTTACATTACAGACTAAACCGTATGTACATCTGAGAATACTTAATGTATACTGTGACTACCAACATGTCCTTACTGGGACTGCAGTAACAAGGAACAAAACCAACTGTAACGTGTCGTCAGAGTTACTGAGAGCAGCTTGCTAACTAGAGTAAAATCGCAAGGATCACTAGCTTTTTTTTTTAATAGAAGAAAGAGACCATCCTATCTAGCTCACACCACCTCCTTTTTATTCTGTTGTCCCCTCAAAGGTGTGAGCTTGCCTTGGCCATTAGGGCTGCAAGCCGCTGATGCCAGAGTGTACAAAGCCTGTAAGAAAGACCACACTGGGTGCTTTAACACCTAATTTCTGGCAAAAGGAGGTCTTTAACACAAAGCTCAGCACTAAACCAGGATGAAGTGTCACAGATGTTTAACAGAGGCTTCAGGGTGGAAAGCTCTCCTACTCTGCTCCCACCTCAGAAGAGGATCAGATCTGAAGCACTGAGCATGAGCAGCACAAGGGACACTGCACTGATCATGCCAGCATTTGTTTTCTAATTAAAAATAGGACTTAAATTTCTCATACTTCCGACATGAGCACTCACTTGCATTAGACTTTAAAAAAATGGATACAGAAGCATTTTTGATACCAGACACATAAGCAGCTGGCTCAGCCTCACTGTCATGACCTCTGCCTTTCACGCGATGCCAACATGCAAGCTGGCACTGGTGTTTGTGGGTGCCAGCCAGAGCTTCCTCTCTCGTCGTTCCCTCTTGTGCTCCAAGGGAAGTGGATTTGGTGAATAATCATGCATATGCACACTGAGGAACTAAAAGTGGCGCAAACTACTGCTATATTTATCAGCAGATAACGACAGACAGCAGCTGCCAGTGAGTCTCTCCCACACTTCCCTGTCTGTGACTCTGAGGATGTTGGCACACAGGCAGAATACACATCTTGATATTGCAGAAGCTGCTGCTTTGCCACAGTGAAATAGCACACATGACCAAAAGGCCGCTTTCCTCTTACCTGCAGTATGGTACAAGGCATTTCTTGAAGATAACTGAATTGAACAGAAGCTAAAAATGAAACGCATGTTATATAGTTTGGAATACAAAAACATTTTACTGTGTTAATTTTAGGCTAAGGGTAAGAAGACAGATACATCTCTGCCCACAACAGCAGGTGCAGACATAGCAAACACTGAAACCAAAGTTTGCTGGTGACAAATAGCGCTCACCATGAAGTCTATATTGTTGTCTTCATTTCGGAAGTGCTCCATCAGCTTCTCAAAGCGCTGTTTCTCTCCACACACCTACAAAAGAATCACCATGTGTTGTTAAACTACAGCTTGCAAGAGAGAGTGTGAAAAATGTTTAAAAAGCGAGCACCATCTCCCTGCTCAAAACCTCTCTAACAGGTCAGGTACAATTATAATCCCTTCTATCTCTTTTCCCCTACAAAATTTAGTTACACTCGCTGATGGTACAAGCATAAGCAACAGTTGCAGTAGGCTATGTCACAGAAAGACTTGGCCTCTCTCACACTTCAGAACTGGCTTTCCACTGTAATACAATTTAATTAAGAAGATGACCAAATTACAGGGAGGAAGAACAGAAAATAATCACCAGCTAAACGAGGAGTGAAATACATCAGCATAACTATCAGCTGGTCAGAATTACAGAGCTGTAATACAGGGGCGTTGGCAGGAAACACAAAGCAATTTGAGGGAGAAATAAGATCTAAGATAAAGCAGGATATTGTTAAATCTTACTACTTCCCTGTAGCTTCTCTGGCTCAGTCCTGCTTTTCCCAGCACACAAATGATCTAGAGTAATCCACACCAAAATCACAAAATATTAAGTAAGTCAGAAAGCAGAAGGGAGCAGAGGTGAGCACCAGGAGGTGGACCTATTCTCCCATTCTCTCTACTTGGCAACTGCAACTCTTCCCTCTGTGGTGCATCATTTGGGATATTTTTTCTGTCCCCACACAAACAGACTACCCCAAACCCCTAAGCTGTAGGGCTGGGAGCCAGTGCAAGGCAGCTGCCCCGCACACAGCTGCCCCAGCACAGTCAGATGGGACATGATGGGAGAAATGCAAAGTGTCCTACCTGTTCCCAAATTCACTGAGAACTTCCTCATACCCTGCACCATGAGTTGACTTCTCACTTGCTGGATTTTCCAGTCAAACTGAGCAGTGAATTCAAGAAGAGCACAGGCATACTCTTCTGAACAAAGTGGTAAGTGCCTGTGTAGGCACATCCGTGCACTAACAGTGTTCAATGCTGTTCCCAACTTCACCTTCCTTAGATGCTGGCTGCTTACAGAGGGACATAAGGAGCTCTGAAAGAAGCTGTTTTGCTCCTAAAGGTCCTGAAAAAGAGTCGGGTTATCTGGAGAACTGAGACTCACCTTCTACTGAGGAACAAAACCCTCAGTGAGCCCAAGAGGCTCCTTCCTTCCTCAACCAGATTTCACTCAAATCTCCCAGGAGCACTGGGTGCTACTGACCAGGAGCAGGGGACATGGCAGTGGGACTTCCAACCCAGGCTGTCTGATAAGGGTTGACTGGCCTCTGAGCAGCACACCCCTCCAGACATCAGCTGCTGTTTTCCTTAACAATCAGATCATCGCACAGGTGTTACATGAAATTAGCCAGTGGATGGTAATTAAGGATAAGTGAGAGCACCGGCTGCTGCTTCTTCAGAAGCTATCCTCTCTGGGGCATTACCAGTTCTTTGTACATATTCCTATGTTTGTGACCTCCACAAGGAAACCAAATCCCCAACGAGGGTTTCTACATACTCCCAAAACTTCGCAAAGTACGCATTATTATTACTATTCCCGTATCAGCTTCCTCTTGTAACTGTATCTATCCTGTAGTATGTACCTACACAAAGATTAAGGCTCCAAGCAGACCTCACTGAAGTCACAGAGAGTTTAGTAGCACCAAAACTGAGCTAACCACAAGATTTGCAAAGTACTGCAAGTAATGGCCTGCTGGGCGACCTCTTGCCACGCTTCTGCTGTTACAACTGAATAAAACATACTTGTGGCGTATGTGATACAACTTCTGTCGTTCCTAAGCAAAGTTGCCACAACTGGGTTATTATTCAGATATTTGTGGTCAGTACCTGACGTCAATGGGAATTCTGCCACTGGATCTCCATGAGAGGACAGTGACACTGGTTATGGTGAACTATTTGATAACATTACCATCAATATTCATGGCCACAATCCCACAAGTTGCAACTAACGGGCTCTGTGTGGGCTCAGCAACCCCCACTCACATAGCTTTTGCTAGGAGGGTGCTGAAGTCGCACACAAACACTTGAAGTTGTGTTTAAACGTGTCCAGCTCAACCTTAAAAACACAATGTAGAATAAACAAAACTAACAAAGCAGGCACCCTCATGAAAAACAGATTACACTTGCTGGTCAAGCAAATTATCATGATCTTAAACCCAAAGGACTCAAGCTCTCTCTGCTGTCTATGCCATGAAAGTGGTTTTGAAGGATTAAACACCTTTACAGGGGCTGTTCCACATGGCTCATAAAACACCCATTAAGGTCTAAGATAAGAGTAAAATGGAGCCAAGACAGACCCACTCTTGGATGGAGCAAGTCTCTTTTGTTTTACCTGGCCTGCAGTTGTGCAAGGGGTGAAGCATGGATGACCTGTCTCTGCCTAGCAGAGATGGGGGCCCTGGGACGTGGAAAGGACAGGGAGTTTGGAGAGAGCCACTGCCATTCAGCTTCAGGTTGTAAATCTCTAGTTTAATCTTGAGCTTTTCTTCTTCAATGCTTGTAAAGCCTCCCTGCAGTGTCAGGAATCACCTTGCTGGAGATCAAAGCCCAAACACCGCATGCAGATTGCCAACAGAGCAACTCCAACAAAAACTGAGAGCAAGCGAGCCAGCCCCTGCCCCAGCCTTCCAGTGTGCTGTGCTTTGCAGCGGGTGGCTCAAGAGCATGCACCACTGGTGAAGAGCCTTAGGCTCGGTAAGGCTACCAAATGTCCAAACTCAAATTCAAGTGGCCAGAAGCACCCCTGGGAAAACAGGGAGATCATTGTGAGCATTTTGGCTGACTATCCTGGCATGCAGTTAAAAGCATGCAGTGGCATAAGCACACTCAGCTCATCCAGAGCATCTCCGCACCAGACACCACCAGAGCCTGCTGACATCCCATCAGGCTTCCCTGCTCTCTGCATGCAGGACTGGGAATCGTTTTGTCTTGAAAAAACTCAAGCTCATTGAACATGCAGCAATGTGACCTACTCGCACCATGAATGCCCTACCAGGCACCTGCTTAACCAGGGCCCACCAAAAGTAATCCTGGCACAGTACAGCCTGCAGGCATAAAGCTCTGCTGCAGCATATGCCCCTCCCAGGACACACATGCTTCCATGCAGGAGCAACATGCCCTTCAGGAGAGAAAGAGACGAAACGCTGAGAAAACACCAGCCTCCGTCAGCAAGAGCCAGAGAAAACCAGAACCTGGCTGAGTTTCAGGAACCTCCTGGCACTATAAGGATCAAAGGTAGCAGCTGCCCACTGATATAATTTGATTTTGGAGGCATACGCTGGCCCTGATCCAGCCCTTGCTCAAAGCAAACCCCAGGAACCTTCTCCTCTTGCACCACAGGCTGCTTAGGTGCACTTATCCTTACGTTACCATCCCAGGCCACTTTTTTCCTACTGCAGTAAATGGGATGGTATTTCAGTTAGACCAACTGCAAGTTCTTCCAGCACTCTCCATACTCTCCCTCCCCACAAAACAGTTAAGAGTCAACATCACAAAAGAAAAAAGTAGGTTCATCTCAACTTTGAGCTCTAAACAATAGCATCTCTCTTGTACCCACTTCAGAGAAAATGGAGCCAGTGTGAACAAAATCATATATTGTGGAAAGAAACATAACAATGGTGCACACGATCACTCAACAATAAAAGCCAGAAGGACTGATTTCTGGGAAATCTAATGTAAACCATTCCCCATGGATGAGGAAAGCTGACATAAACCACTACAAGCCATTTATGGCTGACTAATTAAATCAGGGAGCAACCCGAAGTGATACAGCTCCAGCAGAGAACTGCCAATCTGGGGATGCAAGCAGCCCTGGCTGGCTGGGATACAGCAGCTGATAGCAAGAGGAAAAGCAACAACAACCTGCGGCTTTCAGTGGCTACTTGCAGCTATTTCACACTATCATCAGACGAGTCAGTGACGGGAACATGTGTGTTTCCAGAGACAGCGAACTGCCTTTCATGAAATGATATAATTTATCCTGGAAGATTAAAGAGAGTGAAACTGGAGATGAAGCCTACAGCCTGAAGATTGGCCAAAATCCAAGACGAATGCCGAAATCAAATCCCACCACATAAAACCATATGTTGCCATTTATATTTGAATAAATTTCCAGGGTCTGTCATTTGAAAGCATGGCTGGGACTAAGAAAGGCTGATCTTTCTTCTATTAGCATTATTCTGTGTAAGAAGCAAGATTAAATGGGTTACCACAGCTATAAAAAAACCCAGTGTCTCTGCTTCTGCTGCAAAAAAAACTTTTTAGGTTGCATTAAGCCCACGTCATTCTAGAAGAACAATGTGGCTTTATGGAAAACCACCCACGAAGGGTTCTTTCTCTGGAAAGGTTTTGGGTGCTAATGAAGTAAACTCATCACAGACCTATTACGAAGGTAAAATACAATCCTATAAGGAAATAAAAGGAGCCATTATGAAAAATTTAGTGATGATTATATCCATATCCACCTGGCATACAGCTCAGGTCATACAGCTCACATCCAGACCACCCAAGAGCAAAGTTCAACTACAACAACTCTTGCCTTGCTCCTGCTCACAAGACTGTATTTCTGTAAGGCAACCTAGGCAGACAGCAAAAGACAACAAGGTTATTTTTGAAAAACTGAAGATGTTTTCATGTGCGGTGTCAGGGGGAAAGTGAAAATGCAGGCTGACAAAGCACATCCATTGTCATCCTACCTCAGACAGTTACCTAACAACACGAAGCACCACCTCATCTTGCTGGAGAGTGCAGCTCCTAACTAAACCTCATCACAAGCAAATACAGCGTGTTCCATATGGAGATGGCAGCAAACACCAGCAGTACTTCAGGCTTTGGAGCTGCAGCTTGTTGGCCAACAGCACAGAACAGACACTACGAGATGCAGCTGCCAGACTGCTCTCTTCTCCACATCTGGAGGACTGATGCTCCTAAGCTTGAGATGCAGTGCCCCATTCAGACACAGCAACCACCTACTGCAACTGCCTCGAGGCAAGTGTCGGTCTGTC